GGGCTGGGGCTGGGGCTGCTCCGGTGGCCGCGGGGCTCTCCGGACTCCTGCAGCCCTAAACACCCCTTTGCTTCCAGGCTGAAAGTCTTTGCTGACTTTAACCTGCAGAAACTTCCGCGGGGGGTTCCTGCTTTATTGCCGTGATGCCGTGTAACTCTGTAATGCGTTCCTGAGCATGATTTAAAGGAGAATTTAGGAAAATTTGCCTTTTTAAACTGCAAATCTGCAGGTGATCGTTCTCTTTAAAACCCCAACCAATCCCTTTCCCCCTTCTCCCCTAAATTCACTTTCTGATATCACTGAACTTTATACTGTATTTGTAAGAAAGTAAGACTTAACTTTCATAATACAGTAGTTTTAAGATTTTTTTTAATTTTTTTTTTTCCTAGCTGGGACTGCTGCAGACATATATCAGTTCCTGAAAGAAAGTTGTAATGCATCTATAAACGCAGATGTGAGCACATTCCCAGGTAAATATTGCAATGCACGGTGAGGTAGGGCAGATGGTATCACGGCATTGGCCTGTGCATGCTCTGTCAGTGGAAACAGAAATGTAAATAAATCCAATTGCGTGGCATAGGCCTCTTCCTGCCGCTCCTGTTTCTGTGGAGAACTCGCATCATTTTAGCAGCTAAGGTGTTAGGAGATTATTAGATTGATTGGTTGAAAGAAATGAAAGGGAATGGTTTTGAAATTCCAGTTCAGTTGAGCAAGGAAAAGTAGGAAAGGGCTTGTTTCTCAAGTCAGTGGGAAGCGTGATATTTTAATTACTCCTATAATGCCTTCTAATTTTTCCAGTGGAAGCAATACTTGTCTGTTGGGTAACAATTCAGAACCTTAATTGATGAATATGAAATAATTTTTTCGCCTTAAAATAGATTTCTTAAGATCTACTTTAGTACTTTTAGGAGCTGTGTGTTTGTGTTTTGTTGTTTTGGGTTTTTTTAATCAAAAAATGCTTTCTTAGTTGTTTAGTTGATTTGGGTACATACTGTTATAAGCTCATCTTGTCACAGATAATATTATAATTAATTATATATTGAATATAATTATATATTATAATTAATATATATGTCATATAAGTAGTATTCATTTGGGAAAACCATTATAAGCTCTTAAAATTCATAGAGGTGGGAATGTTAAGCTGTTTGCAACTTCTATGCTTCTTATTGCACAGAAATGTTGATAGATGATGTTCATTTTGTGAACTCTAAATTATATTTATGAAAGGTGTTATTTAGTTCAGGTCTGAGACAGATCATTCAAAGAGAAAGCAATATTACCCAGAACAGAGAAGAGGTCAAAGGTTTTCTTACTTATAAACAGTCAGAGCGTCAGTACTAGACACTTGCCCAGACACTTACCTACACCTTAGTATGTTCAGAACTTAATTATGATGCCAAAGGAAAGCAGAACTCAAGTAATTGTTGCACATTAAATGACTTACAGAATCTCTTAACAGAGATGTTCATTAAAATAGGAAGAATAGATTGTAGAGAACTGATTAATTTAAATCTTATCTTTTTTTTAATCTCTTTGCAGCATGCTCAGTGGCTGGTATTCCAGGTGCAAAGAAATGGTATTTTGCAAGTCAGGTCATTTGTGGTTATTATCAGGTAAAACAAACTTTTTTAGAGTATCAGTTCCTCAGCCATCTGCCTGACTGTTGAACAGGTTAAAACTGAGATGTTCAAAAGTCTTTTTGCTTATTTAAGTCTTTGTGTTTGATTAGTTCTGCAGTTCTGACTGGGAGGAAATAAATGTTGGCACACAGAAAAATGAAGACTCTCACCAAGAAAGTATTGATGAGAACCTGGGAACCACACAAAATTTTGAGGAAGATGACAGTAACAGTCAGGAATCACTGTCTCTGACTGAGTATGTGTATTATTATTTTTACTTAAAGAGCATGATCTGATAGCTAACAGTGATGACCCAAGGGGATCAAGAAAGCTCAACAAGTGCAAGTTACTACCAAAGCAAGAGTTAACTATGAACAATCCCCCTACTAGTACTGAAAATACTTTTCTTGTGTTTAGCATAGCTTTAGTTTTTTTACAGATGATTTTTACTGAGCAGTTTCCTAACAGCCAACATCATATATACAAAAATTTCTTGCTAATTTCTCTTGAATCCTTCTTCCAGTTTTACTGCAGATTATTTCAGTGTCATTAGGCCTACTTCTGTCTTAGTAAAAGGTGATGATTTCTCATAGCCTAGGTATATTTGTGCATTTTTAAAGATGTAAGATCTTACATCAGGTACGATTCATTATTGTTTCATTCATTTTTGTTCAGAAATATTCTGTTTCTAAATGATTTTGTTTATATTTTGGTTCCAAACATGTTCTTTATTTTTAGTATCTATGATGAAGCTGCTGAAAGTCTGCATCAATTAGCTGATAAACTGCCTGCCCCAGGTAATCGGTCTTTAAAAATCAATCTCATTGGATTTTATATTGTTAGTTACTGATATAAAAACTCATCTGGTAAAAGCATAGTGAATGGAAAAGTTCAGACGATGTTAGTTTGGTAGCTGAATTAACTTAATGTGGCTCTTGAAGGTAGTTTAGGAACTTGAGCATGGTTGGCATTGAAGATAAGCTTGAAGACGAGTTTGCTGCTTGTTTGTTTCTTTGGCAGACTGTAGTTCAGTAGTTTAAAATAGTTATTTATATAATAAATTTATCCATCTGAAATGGCACCAAAATAATCATAGCAATGCAAAACTCAACACAGGAAATTTCTTATGAAAAAAGGAAGATGTTGATTTGACATCTGATTTGACTGCTGGTTACTTGTGGGTGGGAGACAAGAGGATGAGAAGTACATCAGAACAGTTGGACTGGAATTTTGTAAACTGGAGATACATATCACCTTGTATGTTAGGGTTATATAATGTTGCAGAAGTTGATTTGGGATAACAAAGGAACTCAAGAAGAATGAAAAATAGCAATTTAGAGTGTTAAAAGTAGGAAAATTACTTATCTTAGATGTATGGGAGACAAATCTCATCTGTCACTCAATGAAATACTTTGTGTTCATCTAAGAGGAGCAGCAGGAGATGAGCTAAAATACGTGAAAAGTTTTTTAAATCTTGAAGTTACTTGATCTTTTTGCTGGTTTTAGAGCAGTCAATGATAACCAATACTAATCTGTTTTTAAATGACTGAATAATTTACTGCATCATGATCCTTTGAGTCATACACAACTGTTTTATAGGCAGAGCAATGGTTGATGTAATCCTGCAGGCTGTTGAATGTGATGGACCCAAGTTAAAGGACTGCTTACCTGCTGTTGGTGCCCTGAAACACCTGAGAGAGTGGCACTCTGCACAGATCACTATTGCAGCAAGTGATGCTAAAGGGTATGACATTTATTTCAGGTCACTTCTGTTTTGTGTTAGCATAGGTCAGTGGGTTGAAATAAAAACAGCATGTCAAGTAGTTTACATGTATACTTTGAAAATACATAAATTAATTGTCTAATATTTTATGAAGGGAGGAATTACTCATGCTAATTTATTGTAGATGGATGTCCTAACCAGAGAAGCAGGCAAAAGAGCCAGTCCTCTGCACTTCTTGTTTTCTGTGGGAGCAAAGAAAAAAATATTTTCTCTTCCCTTTCCATGGGCTCAGTGTGCCTACAATGTTTTCATGTTGTATTATGCTATGATGTGGGATAACTTAAGTATTTATTGTAGTTTTCCAGATTTCTTTAAATGAAACCATTCTACTGCTGGTTTTACTTTAGATTTTATATTACCTTTGGTATTACATTTCAGGGAGGAAAAGTAGAGAGCTTCATTTTTCCCTTTTGAAAAAGTAGTATAAACTCTCTATTACTTCCTGTATGTTTTGCAAGATTCTGATAGTATGAAGAATTACTGAGACTAGTAATTCAAGTTGAAATTAAGTCAAGTAATTTACTTACTCTCCTCCTCTAATTGACATATAAAGGCTGTGATATCTTGCCCTATAAACCACAGTGATTTGGGGTTTTTATCCCACAAAGTGAATGATTGTGTGGATACTGAGCAACTTGGCAAGGTCTCTGCTTTCCTTCCCCTCCATGCCCAAAAGATTGAAATTTGCTTCATATGTGGTTAAGCTTAATCCTAAATTAATAAAACTGTTCAAAAAGGTGGATGTTCAGTCCTTGGATAGAATAAGCAATATACCTTACTGCGCAGTGTTTCCTGAGGTATGTGGAAGACAAGAAAGTTACTCAGTGACTTCCACAGGTATTTGATCTCAGTGCTCATTGATATCAGCCTGTGGAGGCAGCTTTTGACTGAATACATTTTTCTGTTACCTTTTATGTGAAGTGAGATTATTTGGGTGTAGAAGATCTCTGATGAAAGTGATTTCACTTATTCTTCCTGTTCTGTTGATGGTGCTGATTTTGCTTAGAAGACAGACTGCCAGCAGAACCCACAGATACTGGCTGTTCTCTCGTAGAATTTGGATAATCCTTCTGCTGCAGTCATATCTCCATTTAGAAGGTTAACTACAAACCATCTGGACAGACCAGTGATGGCCCCACTGACGGCTGCCAGGCTTTGCTGCAGCTTCTAGCACCCAGCATTGCTGGATTGTGCTTGCAGCTTGCCACTGTCAGTCTTACTTGATGTCAAAGTTCTTTGCTGTCACTTTCTTGGATCATATGAACAACTTCCTTTACTGAGCCTGAACGAGCAATTCTATAATATTTTTGACTTTGTGAAATGCAAAGCTTTTGTAAAGCTTTACTGTCTGTTTTGACATAGTCAAGATTGTTCAGTGCATAGGTAAATTCTGTAAAATTGCATTGCATATGTTTATTTGTAAACTCAGTAAGATTAATTCTTCGATATTCTTACAGTAGCTGGCAAAAGATTGCAGACTATCTGTCAGCAGACTTCGTATCTTCAGATGATATCATGAATATTATTGATTTAAATGAACTCTGGAGAGGAAAGATTCAGATCTGGGAAAGAAAGGTAAAATAAGTTTTAGTTTATTAGTGTGGGGGTTATTTTTTAAAGCATCTGTGTACCTCATTTAAAGCATTTATTGTGCAGTGCATTTTATACCTTAATCCAAATTTGGTTTCAATCATGTAATTCAAAGGTAATGTGTAACATGACTGGGTGGGTGACAGGATGAAATGATAAATGAGACCAACGCATCAAGATCTGAACTTCAGAAATCCAGATGCACCCCTCTGAAATATTTTTATTAAAACTTACTGTTCAAAATTAGATAATTTTATATCTATCACAAATCATTGTCATGGAAGTATAAGTCATTGTTGCAAGCATATGTCTAATGTTTTTGCAAACCTGAGAGCTTTGTGACATTGTGTACATTTTCAACATTACTGTTTTGGATTTCCTATGTGGTTATCTAAGTCTAGTATTTTTTCTTAGTTTTACAGTTCTAAGAAAAAATAATAATAATTGTTAAAAATAATAACACATCTAACTGGCTGAAGAGAAATAATTTGTATCTCTTTTTGACATATTTATTGTAATTTTTTTTTTTTTCAGTTCGGATCAGGAGTAGATTTTCCAGAATTTTGTATTAAGAGCACTTCAGCCAAGACATTCAGGACTGCAAAATTAAATTCTTGCTTTGCTGCTAAGAAAGAGTGGCAATCGAGGAACACTGATACTTTGCCAGAAGCAAGTATTATTCTTGATATTTCTTTGAATTTTAGAATTTGTCTGTTTTGCTTTCCAGAGAAAATTAATAATTGGGGAATTCTTAGTCAGAACTGAAAGTTAAGTATAGAAGTAATGATTGAATAAAGGATATTGAGGAATGCTTCTTTTGTACATCTGTATTGTCAAAACAGGTCCTTAAGACTTCATCTGTTTGTTCTTAGGAATACAATACCAGATTTTTTTTTTAGTAGAAATTGAGGCTTTGTTCAGTTTAATACTCAAAATAGTTAAATTATGAATTCTGTATTTATCTAACCCTTCCCACTTAATTTTAAAGGTTTGGGTTTGGTATTTTTTTACACTCTTGCTGTTTCATGTTTTCTCCTGGAAGTAGATAATTGGTGGGAACTCCAGAATCATATGTGTTGATGAAAACAAAAATGAGAATTATGAAAATTGGTATGAGTTTGGAGTTTGTTGTTTTCATTGTTAAAACATGGACATTTTGTATTGCATTTGTCTGTTCCTGGTAGATCATATTTTATTTTGGGTAACAATTAGAACTCATTTAATGCACTTTGTTGACATTCTACAAAGTCAGATTTATTATCAAAAATTAAATACCTTCCTTTTTTTAATATAATTTAGTATTATGTTGTGAAATGTTTTTGCATTCCTTTTTTCCTGTTTCAGATGTTATCTGCAAGGCTATTGCCTCCAGCAAAACACTTGAGGAACTTCAGCTGACATAACATCATATATATAATAGAGTGTTATATATATAGGTTTTAATTTGATCTCTTTTCAGGTTTTTCATTACTATGGTCCTGCGCTGGAATTTTTACAGATGGTGGTTCTTTCTGATCTACCTTCCATTTTTATATCAGATCTGGAGTTTGAGCTGTATCCTTTTTTTAAGGATCTAAACTACTACTGATAATTGTCTATAGCAGAAAGAAAAAGATCAGCATCCACCCATGCAAGTAACAGACAGATGAAGATAGGCAAGGGTTCATTCCTTTCTAGCCTGCCAAAATAGTCACAGTGATTTTTCACAACTGGATTTTTTAATTTTGACATTTAAATAACCATGTGTTGTTGATATTATTGTACATACAATTCATCTGTTGATGTACGTGCTGTTTGTGGGAAAACAAGAGAAAAATGTGTATTCTGTGCAAGTTTAAAAAAAGCCTCAAGGCCTTCTAATGAAAGAATGAAGTATGCTTCTCAATTTAGGAACATTTGTCTGCAAACCATATTTTTATTGTACAGTGGCAAAATCTGTGGCAAGGTTTAGCAAGGAGTTCTCTCTGCAGTGTGTGCTGCTGAGATCTCGAGATATATTACTATTGGTTTTTAAAAGTATGTGTTTTTGGTATTAGTCTTTGTGCACCAGTAATACCTTAGGATATATAATATTGGATGCTGTGATTTTGAATATATAAATATCCGTTTCTGTCAGCCTGTAGTACAGATGTCAGTGGAGTATTTTGTCATATAACATTTTCAAGTGTATTCACTTTACCAGGAAAGGTGAGTTTTTTATGTTTTGTGGTACTGTAGTATCAAAAACTAGATGCTTGCACTGCTTCTTTCAGATATGATGGTAACCTGATTTGTAAAATAGAGGTGCAGAGTTCTTTGTGAAGATGAGATTCCTTAAACTGTTCTGTTCAGGAGTCTGTCAAGAAAGAATACCGAGGAGACATCTACACTGCTTCTGGACCAGATTTCTTCTCTCTCTGGGAAGGTAAAAACTTTTTATTTCTCTATAGCAGAAAAATGAAGGTATGTATGTTGCCTATAAAAGATACAGAAATAATATTTTAAAATCTAGTCTCTAAGCTTCTTCAATATTTAATTCTAAAGCAAACATGGATTTCAAGGGTCCATGTTATACATACCCACTGAAAAGTTTTCTCTTTATCTCAGCTGAGTTTCAATCTTGTAAAAGATTTTCTAATTTTTAATTCTATCCTGACAGATAATTTCTGTACTATCATAATTGAGCTATTGATTTTTTTAGCAAAAGGTGGGCATGTGTGTAGCCTACAAAATGTATCTAGCTACTGTGAAATTGAAAGGTTTTTTTATTTTATATGGGCATATTCTGATTTTGGATAAAAAGAGTTCATGAAACCTTTACAGTCCTGCTTTCTCCCTCCCTCCTCTGCCTTAGAATGATAGTGACATTATCATATAGCCACAGTATTAATTTGAAGATGTTTTTCCTGAACATTCTATCACCTTTACATCACCAAGTTAATACATCCTGTTTAGGAAAGTTTTTTAGTGCTTTTAAAATAAATCTATACCATTCAAAACAAAACCTGCAGTTTAAAAATGGTGGTACAGTTATTATGAATAACATATGTTTTTTTGTTTACTGTGGAGATGGTATCCCATTATCAGGCTGTATGTTTCATTTTCAGTTTGTTATTTAGGTTTTTAGTAACTCTTTTTCTTCCCTGCTACTCCATTCTCCATTAGCTTAGCCACAAAAGGAAAAGGTCCTTTTTCTAATGCTGTACCAAAAGTATCTTTTAAAATGGTTTTATATTGGTAAACATCCCAGGTAGTCTTCATTTTACTTAAGAATACTGAACACTTGGTCATACCCTTTTTACAATCGAAGGGCTCACATTTCTACTATTTTTTTTTTTAAAGAAGAAGCCCAAACAGCAAAAACACATTCTCAGGTTACTTTTTAGATTCTGTACATGTTCAATTGAATATATTTTGAAAATAACAATTTCTCATGGGGATTTTTTTCAGTCTGCTACTCAAAATATTGCATATTTGTAAGCTTTTCTAGTACCTGTAATAGCATTGCTTTATTGCTTGAGTGTTCAAATATGTCTGCAATTTTTGTGTTAGTGCTTATTGGTCTGAGGTCTACATAGAAACATAAACATAGTCCAGTATCTGGTTGAGGGACAAGGGTAATATGTAGGAAGGAAAAAAAAAAAAGAATTTTTTTTCATAAGAATGCAGAGTCACTGATGCCAACTATTATCTTTGAATTCTCTTTTCACTCTGGATAGTGCTCTACAAAAATGTTTGGATTTTGGAAGTGTCTCCGGGTTATGGAGACACTTGCAATACATAATAAATAACTTTTTTATGTATGAAATGGAAATTCAGAAGTTAATGATATCTCAATTGGACCAAAAAGTAAACACAGTTTTTACAGCTTTTATCTCAAATGCAGTTCCATTTTGATTGATGTGAATGACAGATATGTTGAGATGTTTTTCTTCAGTTCAAGTAGATTTGAAATAATGCCAAATCAGTAGCTCAAGAATGAAATGTAAAACAGGTTTCACTAATTCAATGTCTTATATTTTCTCTGCTTAGGTGGGAGCTTTATTTACATTGCCATGTAATGTAAGCAGTGTAGTGATCCCATCTCCTGCCCACCTGAGCAGCAAGAAATGGAAGGAATATCTGGCTAAGAAACCCAAGGTCATTTCTGGTATGTTTATTTTGTTGTGGTTATATGGATATGTGTGTATGTGTATATATATATGTTGAGTTTTTTCTGTGTGTTTGGGGTTATCTTTTTAACTTCAATGAAATGAAGTCAGTGATCGTAAAATCTTCGTTGACATGAGAAGATTTAGTGAATGAAAGTTCAACTATGCAAACTTCCGGAAGAAAAATGGTAACAATCAAGGCAAGCTTTGGGGAAGCATGGTGTCTCCTTTAAACCATTTTTGTGTCCTGTCTGTCAGTTAAGGTCCAGTTTCCACACATTTTTCTGAGGTTATTGTAAAATCCATGGCACAGAGGTTTACTTCTGCAGGTGGAATTCCAGTCTGCTTCACTGAGGTGCTTCCCTTTTCGTTAAGCATTTCCAGAGGTTCTTCAGTGCATTTGCATTTAATGTCAATCTCTTCCTGGGAAAATATAGACTATTAAGAAATACTGAATGCCTCCATACACCTGGGAGCCAGTGTGCTAAACTTGTGATTGAGAACCTGCTCCCTGTAGGGCTGTCCTGTGGCAGCTGTCTCTCATACCCTGTGCTTAGAAATCTGATTCAGAAAGTGGGAGAAGGGAAATCAGTGCAGAGCAAGGCTGGGGCAGATTTCTCAGTCAGCCAGCGAATGTGTCCTGCAAGTGGAGGCGTTGTACAAGCAGTGACTGTGAGGTTTGTAGGCACTTGAAAACATCAGGCTAGAAGGAACTTGATGGTAACCCAGTGCTTGAAGTACTTATCTAAGACACGATGAAGTGCTGGATTCTGTCTTCTTAAATAATCTCATTTATACATGGTCTAATACACAATTAACGTAGATTCCAAGGAACAGTGACTATTTCTGTTGCCAACTCAAGACAATTTTTTAAACAAGTATGCAGATGAAGATGGCTCATACTGGTGACGGATACCTTTTCAGGTTTAGAGACAGGAAAAAATTGAGAGGAATTAGGAAGATTTGTATAACAGGACAAGAAGCTTAATTATGGAATGGGTGCTGGCAGTGTTGCCTTTTTCCCAACCTGGAAATGAAACTCGAGATAATTTTAGCAAGGAGGTAATAAAAAAGGGGATCTTTATTGAAGGTCTTCAGAGGCAGTTATGGAAAGATGTCCACAAAAGCCGACCCCCGCCAGGGGTGAGTACATTTATAGATTTTATGAAATCAGCATAATTGATAAAAAGCACCAATTAGAGACAGTTCCCCCCCAGGCCAAGCCCCTTCTCTGGAGCCCCCCCTTCAGCACTAGTTGTACTTTGTCCATGAGAATGTATCTTGAAGAGTTGTTCTCAGCCTTGGTTCCCAGGAAGAGCCAAGATAGCACTGGGGCCTTGTACTTGCCAGGGCTTGGAGCGCTGGAATTTGTTTTGTCTTTCTGCTTAGGGAAAGGCCATGGAAAAGTACTGGGGAAGTCAGCTATTGATACAATATGTGACAGAGTTAAAGCATATGTGTGAAGAATATAGAGAACATAAAAAAGAAAACAGGCAAAAGCCAAATGGTATCAGCAGTATATAGACTTAAAGTTCTCTGCGTATTTGAAAGTGGTTGAGTACAGAGGGTATAGAGCTGGTCACAGCAGCAGCATTTGTATTTATTGGAGAGATAGCAGTGATTCAGTCAAATGAGCACAAGATCCCAGTGTCTGCAGGATATTTGTCCTGTGCTCCAGTGGAAGGGTTTTGTACAAGTATTAACTATTGTGTGATCAGTAATACACAAGTTCTTATTAAGGCTCTTGAGTAATATTTACTATAGGAGAAGAAGCACGACTTTCTAAATGTATTTTCTTGTTTGGTTGAAAACTGTTGATTTTTTTAGTAGCTACCACTAATCTGACTGTACTAAGGATTTGTGAATCCTTAATCTCTTCCATCTGTGGGAAAGTATAATTCTTGGTATTGGTAGTTCTTAAATGCTAAGACTAAAATGCGACATAAAAGCTTACCCATCAGGAGTCATCTTTGAGATGTCAAGATAAACTGGAGAAGAAATATATTTCAAGTGACATGGAAAACAGGAAAATATGACAACATTTCTGGAATCTTTACTGTTCTTTTTCCTTTCTTTGAATTTGTGTTGAGGTAGTCATTTCCCTTCTATGTCCAACTATACATTTTCAACAAACACAGGAATATATTATTTGTTGCCTACAAAAATTTATGATACTAATAAATACTCAATTCCCATAGAGTTAATTCTTGAGTCAGTACTGCAAATACCTTATGAGATTAAAACATTTTACTTTTGAAATTTACTACATCAAGAGATATTCATTGTCTTGATTACTATATCTACCAAGGCGCTATAAAAAGTTTTCTGTGTGAAAAGATAGCAAACCCATCCTTTCACTGTTACTATCAGGTCCCACATTAATTTACTTTGAAAACTGCATACTTTATGCCAGTGTTTAAAAATAGATTGTCTTTATTTTTCATCCAGGCACAAGGGTAAAGCAGGGAGTGAAGCTTTTATTAATGAATAATGCAGTGTCCTTGGGAAGAGTGTGTACAAGATTTCCTTTTCTTCTACAGTTGTATGTTCATCCACTGAACATTTACATTATTTCAATGCACATATATAAAAAGGCCTGTTTTTACCTAGCAGAACAGAAACTTCTCTTAATTGTTTCATAGTAAAAATGTAACTTTGCCAGTTAAAGGTTTGCCCCTTACTTAGCCCAGTTAAAGAACTTCTCTTGGCTGCTGGTTAGTAAGATTTCTCACAGAACAGAGGAAAGCAAATGAAAGAATTTTGAAGGTGGATTTTAGTTTGTTTTAAACATGTTTTCCTGAGGGTGTTTCACAGTTATGTCCTGATATTTGTTAAGTTCCAGAAATTGAACTGAAAGGAGAATCCTGTCGGTACTATTTCTTGCTACAAGGCAACGGCTCTGGAGGATGTAAAGCAACCTTGATTCATTCAGCTGGCCAGATCAATGGGATGGCCACTCTTGCTGCAGTAAATGGAAAGCTAAAGGCAAAAGCAGAAGAAACAGAGTCAGGTAAGAGTAATCAATTATTTATTAATGAGTATCTGAATGCAGGCAAATGCTACTAAATTTCCTAAGTTCGTTTTATTCACTCCAGGCACTATTAAAAGGGAGAAAACCGTGAGGAATATTACATCTTCTAACAATATTTTTCCAAATCTGTAAGAAAATATAGTTAGAGCTTATTTATTCACAGAATTTACTGCTACTATATTTTTTTTAATTGATTATGCAAAGCTATTGTCAGTCATTTCTCATACTTGAGATTAGTTGAAAATTGTTTATTGTAAAGGGACATACAGATAAAAATAATGCAAAACAAATTTATAAAAGCGTAAAGTTTAGAAAGTGTGTATTGTTGGTGTACAGACTGACCAGCCCATGCCAAAAATCTAGGTAAATATCTTCTGAAAATCCTGTTTCACAGGTGATTTAAAATAAAAACTTCAAGGCCAGTGGACAAGTTGAGTTTTGTTATTACCTTCAGTTCCTTTGCTGATGTCCATGTTATTGCAATCTTCAGGGTATGAGCTGGCACTCCTATCCTAACTGCTCCACTAGGCAGGAGCAGGTGTGCAGCCATTAATCATGGAGAAGTTGTCATGTTACAGCTACACCTACCAGATAACTCTACTAATTCCTGTATTTGTTTCAATAACACTGGCAAAGAAAAGGAACACAGTGACCTGCATTTTATCCACTTAATTCCTTATTATTGAAATAAATCTGTATGTGATATGACTGACTACTCTGCCATTTATCCTAATTAAAATCCCATTAGTACAGCATCAGAAGACTGAAAGTCCTTGAACATATGCTGAGAGAAAACTTTTCTTTCCTGGTATCAAACTTAGGATCTTTTTATCTTCTTTAAATGTTAGTCATGTTAATTGTGTTGTCATTATACTGGTTTTGTACAGAAATTCAAAAATACTAGTCAGGCATCTCTTGAACTGGAATGAATTTGTGTAGTTTTTCGATGATTAGCCATATTTGAAAGTCTGGTCATTTCCTTTGAATGTGAGATTTTTATGTTTCCTATATTTATATCTTTTATTAAGTAATGACTCCATAAAGAGATTTGTAATAAAGATTTCTCCTAATTTGGACAGACTTTGATATTTCTGACTTTATCAAGTCTCTGCCATGCTATTGTGGAGAGGAGATTGTACAGAGAGAAACAAAACTGTCTCGTCTCCAAGTGTTTGCCTTGAAGGAGTATCTCAGTAAGTAATGGGAAAGGTCTGGTTATTCTCAAACCAGTATTTAAAAGGTCTTTATTTCAGGTTGGATGGGATGGCTCACCTCAAAAACTGAAGTTGTCTGACAACCCAAGTGTGTTCATCACTTTGTGAAGAAATAGCAGAAGTTTATTTTTAAACTTTGAAGTACATCCATGATTATCTGTCAGATAATGGAAGTAATCTGACAGATAATGGAAGAACTAGTGTTGGTGGTTGCTACAGAGAATACTCTGAATTTTTGAGCATAGCTTTGAAATAATTCTGTGCAATTCTGTGATGATTTCCCCAAAATTATTTACTGCTGGATATGCCTTCTACAAAAATAAGAATTCTTGTTTGGATTTTTTAGCTTTTTTAATTTTTATTCTTTATTTGAAAAGTCTTAAGCAGCAGAGGAACACCATGGATTGTAGATTTGTTAGATTTATCATGATGCATCATTCATAATGATAACTTAAAAGATCATCCTCCTTAGATTTTTATGACTTTGCAGATAAGTACATTTGAGTGTCCGGTTTTTTTCCATCTTAAGTCCATTGCATAAAGAGACTCAATTAAAAGAAAAAATGCTTCAGAGAGTTTGGCTGGCTTATTGAAAATGGCATGCTGTGGAGATAATATAACTGTATTCTCATTACCAGAATAGCAGCTTAAAGAAAATAAGATTTCTGCAAGTAGTCTTGTCTCCCACCCCACACCCCCTGCTGACTCACAGTTATTTCCAGATTCCTGTGTGCCTCAGCCCTGAGGCTGGGCCTGCTTGGCCAGCTTTAGAGCTTGTGTCTTTGTTTCTTTTGAGTGGGTTACCCATTTCCATTAAGGGACTCAGTTGGGATTCACTGATTCACACTGGGACCTAAATCATAGCAGAATTACCTGACCTTTGATATTCTGACCGAAGAGCCCAGAACAGGCTTTCAGTTATAGTAGAGCCACACTCCTGCAACAGCAGTGGAAACAGGTGGGTGGGAGGCTCTGCAGGGTGGAGCCCTTTGCTTTAATCTCAGCAAGTCCAGGTGTTTGTCTCTGGGGGGATTCAAACCTGGATGTACTCAGAAATGCATATACCCAGAAGTTAAAGGACTGTAAAAACATGAATCGTGTGACTTCAGCCGTTCTAACTGCTATTTTTTTCACTTTTCTTTGGAATAAACCACCCATGTCTTACAATAGTAAATGTCAAGTTAACTTACTTGTCTTACTGTGTTTGGGTGGGGATTTTCTCGTTTAATTGTTTTTTAGCAGGCTCCTGTTGTTGTTACTTGCAGATGCAATAGGTTTTATTTTTACTAGTCTTCCTAAACCTGTTCTACAGAAAGTCTGCAATAAAACCAGATCATGCACTGTGACTTGTGGTAAGTATTTCTATTTACAAAATAGGCTGCTTATTTTCTTTGGATGTTTTTTAATATTTTTTGGTTGTCAATATTTTGCTAAAAAGAATAAAGTATTTTTACCAAAAGAGGAAAACATGGAAGGAAAAGTAAAGTAGCTTTCTAGGCTTATTTTGCAAACTGAAATTACCCTTGCAATGCCTATTGCCTTTTTCTTTCTTGACAAAAATTTGTCCAGAAAACATTTCTGATTGCATAACGAGGTAGATTTTTATTTACATACTTTCAGAGATATGAATTGAGGAATATCTAATATAATGGACTGTATATCTATTTCTTTAAGGAATAAGATTTTTTATTTAGGGTTATCCAATATGTACTTTTTGCAGAGCCTGATTTAATGGAGCCAAATCCATTGGAGTGGCCAGAAAGACACGTTCTTCAGAATTTAGAAAACTTTGAAAAAAACAAGCAAAAAATGAGGTAATAATAAAATACTGGAGATTTTCTTTGGAGTAGCCATTGAATTTTGCTATAGAGGAGCTTTGTGTTGATAACCACTGTGTAAACCATTTTCACATATATTGATAATCTTTCAAAGAAAATAATTGCTTAAGTCTAAAACTGTTTTTCTGTCAATTTCCAAAGGTGTAATTTCTTGATATTTAAATAAGTATTGTTTTGATTTTTATTGACTAAATGCAACTGGAATCTAGCTGAAAGTAGAATAGTTCTAAAACTAAATTACCAAAATGGCACTTCTAGAAAATAGTAGCCATGGTAGGAAAACATACAAAAGCTTTTCTTTCTCCCAATACACCCTAAGTAATAGAGATAATTTAGTTGTTTTTGTCAACATGTACAATGTGTTCTAATCTCCTTGTATTTCATAGTCAGTACTTAATATCCTGTATCAAGTAATTTTGAAGTCAAAGAGCCTATTGGTTTTATATTTGGAATTTTTATTTAGTTATGTTTTGCCTTCAGTGCTGTTCAGATGAAACCCATAGATCTTTGTGTCACTTAAGGCAGCCTGTTGATTTCAGTTCAGCTCTCTCTTTATATAACACTTGACAAGGAATGTTTTGGTTGGATATTAGAAAAAGGTTCTTTATCCAGGGGGTGGTTGGGCACTGAACAGGCTCCCCAGGGAAGTGTCACAGCACCAGCCTGACAGAGCTCAAGAAGAGTTTGGACAATGTTCTCGGGCACATGGTGTGGCTCTTGGGGATGGTCCTGTGCAGGGCCAGGAGTTGGACTTGATGATTCTTGTGGTCCCTTCCAACTCAGCTTGTTTTGTGATTCTGTGACTTAATGGTCTATGGTGGTAACATTCATGCTGACAGACCTGTAGAGCCAAGTGTCCAACTGTCCTTTTCCGGGTCACTTCCATCCCATTTCCCTCTTTCAAGTACAGTAGTTTGCCGTGGCTTAGACTGGAGTTCTGCATATGATAAATTCTCCCATTAGCATTCTCACGGTGGTATTCTTATTCTTGTTATTACTATTGGCTTTTGTTTCTCAAACAGGCAAAGTTCTTCCTTTTAATTAGCTGTCGAAAAGCTTCCTGAAGGACCTTTCTGTTCACTGACACATAGTCAGTGTTTATTTTATTGCTCATAATCTGAACTGATTATCTTTCTTATCCTGCATCAGGATATAATGTTTTGCCTAACAGTAGAAAAGGGGAACTTTGATATACTTGATTGAAGACACTAAAAGAGGAGGGTTGTATGCAGTAGTGACTTCATGGTTCCTTTCCTGTCTATTGTATATATTTTTTTAATGGGAACCAATTTTTGGTCCTAAAATAGTAAAAAGGTTTGAATAATCTTCCCATGTTATATGTCATCACCAAACTCTAAATTCTTGAAGAAATTACTTTCTTCAGTCAAATGTTAGAGAATTTACACCAATTATCATGTTCTATATCATGAACATTTGTGTGAATGTTCTTAAGGAGCAACTTCGTTCATTTTACTTTGGTGCTAGTTTAATTTCTCCAGAGCAGCAATGATTTAATATCTTTTAAAATACCATGAGTTTATTTAAAAAAAAAAATTAAAAAAAAAAAATCTTAGACTGATCTTTCCTTGCTTCCTTTTTTCCAGAGTTCCTCTGTTTGCACATTCATCTGAGCAGCTGCTGGGACACAAAGACAGCCAGCGGGAGTCCCTGACCCTGCTGGATGCTAAAGAGCTGCTGAAGTATTTCACCCCAGAAGGGCTGCCCGTGGGGGATCTCCAGCCACTCCAAGTTCCCAAGCGGTATGATCAGCATGTTAAAGCCGCTGAAGACCACACTCAGAGCTGATCTAGGGATGTGTAAATAAGGGTGGAATGGGCTCACAGAATGGCCTAACTGGATTTGAGTTTTTAACTTGCAACATCCTTACATCACATGCCTGCCAGTGAAATCAACTGTTTTGGTCTTCCATCAGTATTGCTGTTTAGTTCTTTCAGAATCTGAAATGGCTGGAGATGATGATCTTGGTCCTAGGCATTTAAATAACAAAAGAATCACCTGAAGCACAAGTATTACTGGTAGAGCTCTGCTAAGCTGCTGCTGCCTAAGTGTCTATTTCCAAGAGAGTATTACTAGTATTTCTAGTAAAGCAGAAGCTACTGTGGCAGAGTAATGTAACTTTTTTGGTGCGATTTCTTTCAGTGGAGGGGAGTCTAGGTGGGAAGACAAAAGAGGGAAAGGAAATTGCTGAGCCTATTTAACCGTGTTTGTTCCCTGTCGTGCTTTTTATGTGGTAAAGTGCTTCTTGAAGGAAACCTATGTACTCTGGTGGCTTTGCAAGTATTCATTCTTAGTGTGTCTGCTGGTAATTATTAGTATATTAACTTCTGCTTTTTCAGTAGGAAGATAGATACATGGAGTTACTGGAGTAGTTTTCAGGATCTGAATATCTGTTAGATTTAAGGCCAGACTCTACAGGAGTCAGATAGTGTTTGTAGAAGCAGAGCCTCTACTATTTGTGCAGTGTGTCACAGACTGCTAGGTAAGCAAGACAGTCTTTGCAGTCACTACAGTTATATTTGTTGACCTTTTTAATACTGAATAATAGAAATTATGATGCAATTATTTGATATAGCCCTTGATCTTTTTCAGACTTCATTATATGTCATATGAGTGCTTGTGAGAGGGAAAGGTTCTGTAGTATTTTGGATTTTCTGTAGGATTTTTGAGACTTCTGTAAAATAGTTACTGAAATTTTGAAACAAAACTTAATATGTTCTGAGCAGAGAATTCAAACAAATTAGAAAATGCGCTGTAAAGATTTAGAATCTCCTACTGGGTTATTAATGAGTGCAGAAGATTTAGAATTTTGACTAAAATATTTTTCTTCCAACTAGTTGTGTGGGAAAGAAGTGAATAATTTTTCACTACAAAGATCTATTTTTTTAGTCTGATTTTTTTCAAAGCCTCCAGAGAAGCACAATAGCAGAGAGTACCTTGAGTGTCTTGAATGATTTGCATTGATGAGTGAGATCTGAATTTGAATCAAGTCCAGCAGAACCCTGTACTCCGAGCAGCTCGCTCCCCTGGCAGATGCTCTGACTAAATTCTCAGGAATAATTAGGAACTTTGCACAGTAGGTGACCAAGAGCAGTGAATACAGACCCAAGGATCTTCCTGACCAACACAAGGATTGAAGCGATTTTGAGAGAGACTGGTGAATTAAGGGCATGTTCACTTGTTTTCTGTGTTTGAGCTGAGATAGAAATTTGATAGATTACAATTTTGGCTGACAGTCTTTCCAAATTATCATCTTGCTAGATTCAGTATCACATCTTTCCTGGATATTTTTCTCAGATTATTCCAGTGGAAATGGTGCAGAGGCAGTCTATATGAATAAAATTAGAAGCAATGTGTAAGTTTCAGACTGTTACATCTTGCCTTTGTCTTTTCCTTTCTTTAGAGGTAAATGTCATGGTGTGTTGAGATCTGGCAGCAAGATCGTTCTATTTGCCTTGCTATGGCTTATTCTGTTGAAATACCTTCAAACAAATGCACTCATATGATTTAGCTGCAGAGAGTTACTAGCTGGAATTGAAATATCCCAGGAAACAAGCCCTTAGTTCTGAGATCTGGGAGAGATGAGTGTTGGACGAGGCAACAACTTGAAGCCAAAGGGAAGGAATTCACTGCTTACAGTGTGTGTGAAAAATGGGAGGTCACTTGCCAGTTCCTCTCAGTTCATTCCACTACTCAGGTGTCCCATTGTGATGTTGTGATATTTTCCTAGTTTTATTGGTAAATCATTTGGACCTTAACTGTCTGAGAATTGTCTAAGAGCTTTTGTAAAAATAATAGCTCAGTAGGAATTAGTTGAATTTAAATTCTCACTTCAATACAGGCTTAATTGATGCCTTAGCCTAGAGGCTTAGCTGCAAGACATGCTGTTTTGTTCTTCCTATGTCAAGGCATTTGTTTCTGATTTTTGGAAGTATAGTTTATCCTGACAGTAACTGGTTAAAATAGATTTTTATTTTTCTCCTTTCAGTGAAACTACATTTCTTTTGACACCAGAGCTTACTCCTAGAAAACTCAGAGCTTTGCCTTTTGAAAAAGCAGCTGGATGCTATTTTCATGGACTCGAGTAAGTTTCCTGGCTTCTTTTCCTAGATTTATTTTTTATTTTCCAGGCTAGGTATAATTAGAAAAGTTTCAAGCAACGTGTTAAGGGTATGTTAATTATGGTTTAAATGTCACTGGTTTAAATCTCAACATTCCTGCTTTGATGCCTGAAGTTTGTAGAAACATTGAAGGTCTTCTTTTCTCAGTTGTACTGCTGTATCTATTCTCAGTGTCTCCGAAAATTTTTTCAGAACTAAAAATGGCAAGGGAATTGGGGTCCTTTGTACTTACCAAGTTCCTCAGAAACACATGCTTTAAGTACATACATGGTTTCTGCTTTGGTATTTAATTGTAGACTCTTCCAGACTAATAGTCAAAAGGTTTGCTGAGAGCTGCTGTGATGCTGCTACCTGTATGTTCAGGGAACCTGAGAACATCAGCAGGCAAGTGTCAGTGGTAACAACGTTCAAAAGGATCCATATGGTTAGGACTGTTAGTTAATCTCAGCCAGCCAGAAATAGTTTTTTGTCAAAGCAAATAAATGGGCAAACTGTCACATAATGTGACTGTATAAAAATAGTTTAGAAAAATACAAATATTGACATCGAGGGAAAAAGGAAAAAGGCTATAGAAATGTTGGAGCAGATAATTAATAATTCTCCCATATAGACAATCTTAGTGCAGTATATATTAAGAAATGCAGTGGATACCAAGCTTAATTAGTTCAGTTTCTGTGCAAATTTCTGCTGCTTCCTAAAATCACATTTTCAAATGATCAGATTATCAGAATGTGGCTAACAAAGCTGCTGGTATTTTTTCCTATCAATTTTCCAGTTTGGTTAAGTCTGTGTTTAATATCTGGTAATTTTAGCCAGGCTCTCAAGGGCAGTGAAGCATTCTTACCTCTTTTGCTACCTCTTTTTCTAAATGGTAACTCATGAGTCTGTTACCCTTTTTAGATTTGTAATAAGTGGCACATGAGAGGCAACTGGGTAGAGAAGAGAAATACATATGGTAGGTGTGAGAAGAAACAACTTGTCTGTTGCTATGTGGTATTTTGCTTCCCTGCCTGACCTCAGCAAAGAATGTGCCTGAGATTTCAAATTAGGCACAGCACAGCTTGTGCTTCCTCTTCTCCTAGCAAAATATGACCACAGGGAGGCCTGGGTATTGTGGAGAGGAGGAAGATCCTGGCATGTTAATACTGCAGGGGAAATGTGCTTAGCAGTATGGGAGGGAAGCAGTGAGAAGTATTTTAACAAGAGTATTGTGGTTTTGGGGCAGATTGGTTCTATGCAGTTTTCATCTATCCAGCTGCTGTATTTATATTTGGAAGTAAAGTCTTGTCAAAAATCAGGGAGTAGCAGTTCTCATAGAATGGTTTGTGTTGGAAGGGACCTTAAAGATCATCTAGTTACAGCCTCCATGACATGGGTAGGAACATCAATATCTCACATCTTTTTTTCCAGAGATGCTCTTAATTAATTTTTCACTTAGCCTGTATTTGTGCTGGCATTGCCCTTACTTAGGGGCAGGACCTTGCACTTGGCTTTGTTGAACCTCATAAGGTTTGCACAGGGCCACCTCTCAAGCCTCAAGGATGGAACCCCTTCCCTGGGGTACCACAGAGCTCGGTGTCAGTGGCAAAGTGCTTTGATTTCCTGAAGTCCAGGGGTGAGCTTGTGTGCTCTCCTTGCTGCCCTGAGGGTCTCAAACTGCACTGGTTAATGGTCACTGGAGCCAAGGCTACCCTTGAGCTACACATTCCCCACCACCCCCTCCTTGTTGGTGGGCACAGGCTCCAGCTTAGCTCCTCACCTCACTCAGGGAAGGAAGTTACCAGTGCATTCCAGGAACTGCCTCGATTGCCTCTGCCCTGTGTATTGGCCCTCCAACAGATTATTGGGATGGCTGAAGACATGAGGCTGTTCCTGTTTATGATCAGATCAAATTTTTGGTGTAATGAACATTGTGCTAGATACTTGAATGCTGTTTTGCAAAGAGAAAGCAATTGCCATTAAAGAAGTGAGTAAAATGACAATTTGCCTTCTAAAGTTAAATAGATTTTTTGTATCTTTGTAGGGTATGTTACTACTTGGGACTGAGAATATAAATAAGAAAAACTAAATACCTTAAAATTTTTAAGTCAAGACAACTTACTCTCTTATCAGATAATGAATTCATCTCTAGTGGAAGGTCTTTATCAACTGTAGAAAGAGATTCATCAGCCAGTTATTAGAAAAACTAATTTCTCCCTAAATACGAAAATATTCTGAAGAAGGTGGAAACATCAGAACTAGCAATTTAACATGGCTCCTTTTAAGAGCTAAAAGTAAAGAATATGTCTTGCATTCCTAAGAGTAGGAAACACTGCTGAGCAATTTGAAGGGTGGGCTGAGCAATAGCTTACACTGCACAAAACATTTTGTATCAAAGAGGCTGAAATAATACAGGATTTACTGTTATCTTTCCATGCACTACAGTAAAATACTGGGTGATGAAATACTGTTCTCTTGCAAGGAATACTGAAAATCATCTACACCACAGAAAAGTTATTTAAGATGCATTTTGTGTTATCTTTGTGTTATATTGAGTTACCACTGTTCATTTGTTATAGTTCAGCCCCACTGTAGTTAAAACAGTTTTTTCTGTTGATTTGGTTGAGTAAGCTACTTATTCATTGTAGTCAATGGGAAGCTTGTGCTTGCTCAATGATACATTTTTAGTACTTAAAAAATGTGAATCCCTCATAGACCAGTGTTTATCTCAATCAGAGCTAAAAGTTGCATTTCAAAGAGTTTGTTCAAGGAAAAATTTCTGCTAAGGTCCATGGAAATCTTGTAAGAACAGTGTAAAGAGTTACAAATAATATATAATTCAGCTTCTTTGTTTGGGTTGGACTTAAGTATAGCAAAATCTACCAGGCAAGTATTAATTTACTGGGCTGTTAAAAGTTGTCTTAAAGAACAGTACACCAGTTCAAACAAAAATAAAAGTTTTGGCGTTCACATGACTGTCAGAAGTTTTCCTGATTATAATAAAGTAGAGACTTTCTCTCACAGGTTTCTCACCCAATTTCAATTTTAGATATTGTCTAGATAACAGAAGAGCCTTGGAGAGAGATGTGGGATATGCTGAACTTCAAACTCGTCTTATTCGCTACGAAACTCAGACAACTTGCACAAAGGAGTGCTGCCCTGTGCCACTTGTCTTGAGTCCTCTGCCATCTCCTGCAGTCTTGTCAGAGCCTGGAAGTGTCCCTGATGGAGAGTCTTTACAAAGTGAATTCAAAACAGAGACATCAAGGCTAAAATGCAGATCAAAAGACCTGGATTACTTTTATCCCAAGAAAAGGTAATGCACTGAATAAAATGAACCTTAAGCGTGAAATGTTTCAGTAGTCTCTTGTGAACCACATATTTTCTTTCATCTCAAAATGTTTTAGTGAAGCTATCTAGACAAATGTTCTAGTTGTTTAATCCTCTTCTTAGGTTCATTTTTTTCTCAAGTGTGATCTCTCATCAATGGCATTAGATTAATGGAAACCATGCAGCACAGGCACACTTTATTTAGTAGATTTGGGGTTCTATCTTGCAGTCTCAAGTGCCTTTGAAAAGATGACAGATAGCCTCATCTAGGACTGAAACAGTCAGTGCTCCTGCACTACGAATAAATAACTAAAGGTTTAGAAAGCCAAGGATTGTACAAACAGAATAATTGAATTTCTAATCCAAACGACTGCTGGCATAAGATGACCTACCAAAATTTAATCTTATTGTCAGCCTTGTTTATTGAAGTCTTTTCTGGAAGTTTACTTTTTAAGATTTCCATTTGAACCTTGTTCTCATTCTGAAGTTGCAAACTCTGTCACTGAAAAATAACTGCTAGGTAACAATATTTCCATATTCACTTTTTTTCCTGTAATACTTCACTTATTCCTTATTTCCAGTTTGATATCCTTTGCATTCTAATCACAATAAGCCTTTAATAGAGGTCTTGGTTTAGAAATATGTATATCTTTTTCAGCTTACTGAATAATTACAAAAGAAGATGTGATTATACTTAACATTTTGTAAATTGGAGTTTGGAATTACTAGTGCTCTTACAAGTTGAAGGATCAAGGATAACTTTGTTCCCATAGAATTACAATGCCCAACTTCCTGTAGTTAAAGTGAGTTGTGACATTCCTATAGGGCCAAAAGAAATTAGTTTCAAGAAGTTTTATCTCATCCTAAGACTGGAGGCCAATTCTCCTTCCAAGAGTTTTATTTTCTTAGTTACCTAATTTCTTGAATTTGTTGCTGGACCTTTTTAATTGGAGGTGCAGTGGGTCTACATATAAGAGACCAATCCAATCAGCAGAGTGTTCTTTTAATACAAAAAATTTTACAGAATAGAATCCTGTCTTCCTGTCCTTTTCAGATGTTGTTTGCAGGAATGCTCAGTACTTACAGCTCTAAAGCAGCAGCCTCTGTAGCAGAAACAGTGGCACTAAAAGAGTCAGTCCAAAACCTGAAAGTTATTTTTATTTTTTTTAATTATTCTTTCTAGGCTAACCAAATCTGAGAGTACAGACTCCCTCCTGTCTCAGGCAAGTGGGAGCAGCAGGAGTCACTGTGCAGTTGGTGTGACAAGGAAATGCTCAGAAAGATCTGTTTCTGTGGCTGCAGTGCCATCAAAACTCTCCAGCCAAACCCACAGAGCAACCACCAAGGCTGGCTCAGCTGCAGAGCCTGAGGCCTCAAAGCCAGAGAAGGAATCAAGATCCCAGAAGCACACGAGGGTAAAAATCTACCTTGTTCTTTTAGTGAAGAAGCAGCTGTTTTGCTTTTTCCCATGGGACTTGATTTTTAAAAATTTTTAAACTCAAGGTGAACTATCTTCATCTGAATTTCTTACTGAATTTCATTCTGTTCACTTGTGTAAGTGAATCCTGAAGGCACCAAGGAGAGTGCTGCAAAAGCATTGAAAAAGTGTGTAAAGGAAATTTTATCATGCCCAAGGAATTAAGGTTGAGAGAGATAACAGTGAAGAATAAAAAAGGTGGAAGTGAATATCAATTAATAGGAGTTATGAAATATAGATGACTAATATAAAACCTAAAGGCACCAAAGATAGATATATAGATATAGATATAGATATAGATATAGATATAGATATAGATATAGATATAGATATAGATGTACTGGAAGGGTCAAAGGCATTGAGGAGGAACAGACTATTTTGAGAATAAAGAGATTCCAGTTGTTCTGTAAATCCACTAATTGAGATAGCAGTTAAATAAGCTGTGTGTATTAGGAATGCCTATGTTTAAATACAGTACACAAAACTGTTTCTGGCTTGCTGATACTAATTTTAAATTAATCCCAGGGTATAAGGAGAGCACTGCAAGAATGTTAATGTACTGTCAAAATCAAGTTGGAATGGTCCAAGAAAGCATAAATTGGTGTGACTCATTCAGACCTGCAGCAGAGTTTAAACATCTGTGATGTAAAGAATGTCAGAGGAAATTTTCTAATGAGACTTTAGTGTCAGATTTTTAATTTTTTTTTTAAATATGTATGCATCAAACAAGGGAGTATCAGTAAAGCAAAAAGTGATCTTTATATATATATATATATTATTTTGGAGAAGTAAAACCCAAAATAATATTGACTTTTTTTTTTAATCGTCCATGCTCCATGTGAATATTCACTGATCCTTGACATGTAAGCATTTTCTTATTTTTTAAAAAAGAAAGGGAATGGAAATAGATTATTAAATAACTCTGCTCAAATTCAGGCAGTGAGCAGATCGCATTTGGCAATAGATTTAAGACAGACAAGATCACAAAAGATCAGGTTTTCTGTTTCGGGCTTTTTTGCTTCCCGTGACAATTTTTCATGTTGATGAGCTTCTGGGTGTGTTTCTTCTGTTTCCAAGATGCTGAAGGAGGTGGTTGCTAAGACTCTTCAAAAACATGGAATTGCAGAGGATCATAAGTGCTTTGCATCATGCAGCCAACGTCTATTTGAGATATCAAAATTCTACTTAAAGGTAACTGGAAGACGCACTCTTAGAGTTTTTTATTCTTAGTTAAGTGAAGCCACTCTTGAATAAAACTTTAGAGAGCATTTGGGATATTCAGAGTTGATCAAGCTAATATTTCCCAGTGGTGTGTTAGTAATGTGTAGATTGTGTGGAGAAACCTTTGGATTTGTTGTCGAATGCAGAAGATAGTTTTACAATATATTTGGTGGGGTTTTGCTTGTTTTAAAACCTTCTAAAGCATTAACCTTTTATGCATAGTGAAATAATATGCTAGAGCATGGGGCTGTCAGGTCAGGTCACTCTTAGAGCTGTGACAGCTAAGGAAGCAATAGAGAATCTCCCAGCTGTAGCTGTGACAGCTCCACTTCTCCCTTTTTCTCAGGTTGTTGGTTCAATAAGTAGCTTACAGAACTGACTCCGAAATTGCAATTCCCTGACATGATGTGCTCTATTATCTAACACATACTGACTCAGCAGCACCCCACAGAATTGCATCAGCCTCGTGTTTAGGGGAAGATTAGAATTCTTTTCACAACACTCAGGAGACTGTGAGTCAATACTGAAGCCCATGGTACTTGGTGTGAGCACAAAATCAAGTTAATTACGGTATGGAGTGGTTAAAAGCTGTTGCTCACAAGCTGAGTTGCTGTTTAACCTCCTGCTATGGGTGAACCGGCTCAGTTTAGTCAACTTCAGTAATGGTGCTTTAAGCTAAATGAAAGTTGAACAGGACTGGATGCTTACACAATCAGAACACCTTGTTGATAACCACCAGCTTCTTAAATAATTGGAAGACAGTTGTGCAGTCACTCTATAAGTGCTCCCAAAATCTCCCTGAAATATGTCCTGAAGGAAGATCTAATCCAAAATCAGAAAGGGATGCATGTAGGGATGTAGAGCAAATCAGGGTTTGTGGTTCCATTCCAAGTAGAAAAGGAAAAGGAAGAATATGGCAGTGATCCTGTCCTTTCTGGAGAGAGGTGTCAGGATTTTGTTCTCCTGAACTGTCTTGCAGCTCCAAGTCTGTAGGAGTCCTTTGAATTCTTTAGTGTGCTGCATAATTCAAAAGCAAGGTAACATAGGTATCATTTTTCTCTGGAGACAAGTAGTAAATTAATTTCCTTTCTCTTCAGGCAAAGTTTTGTTCTTACTTTGTTTAAAAGAGTAGATTAGGTTAAAAAAAACCTCATTAAATGGACTGCAAAACAGAAAAGCCATTCTAGATTTTTCCCTTTTCTGCACCCATTTTCTTTTCTGATGTCTGATTCTCTGTTCTTTGCCAGAACTCTGTATTACAGGGTAAGATCACAGCTGATTTCCATGTTTATATACAAACAGACCAAGACTGTAAGAATTTTGAATATCATTGAAGAAAAAAAAAGTTCTGGAAATTCTGCAGAACGTGCAGAAGGTTAGGAAGACTCAGTCATTGAGTACTAGGTTTGGACTGCTGTAAGGAAACCTGCTGCCCATTGAAATAAATTTAAATTATTTTCCATTTTTTTAATTAAAAAAGCAATGTAAGATAATTCTGTTGTTCTGAACAACAGGGCTCTTATAACCAAAATTAGAGTGACCACATGAATTTGCTGACTAATCTGGCTTTTTGTTTCATATTTAGGACCTTAAAACTTCTAGAGGACTTCTAGATGAAATGAAGAAAACAGCAAATAGCAATGCCAAACAGGTAAGGTCATGTGTTTATTTGTACATAGCCAAGGCTAAATGTTGCTGTGGCACCTTGGTTTAGTCCACAGCTTTAAGAGATGAGGAGGTGCATACCCTTGGCTGTGGGTCCTGTTTCATCTCACACAAACTCTCTCTGTCAGTAGTCCCAAGGCAAAATTTCCAGGTTTTGGATGGTATTTTAGTTACAGCTGCCGAGATGATGCACCATGGTGAGAAATGGAAATGAAGACAATAAATTTCTAAATCACCGAAGAAAAAAAAAAAGAAGTTTTTCTTTAATTAGGATTGTTAGGGAATTCTTTTCTTTTGTTGAAGGAAATAAAATTTTAAAGGTTAGGAAGTAATAAGCAGGTCTATAAAAGGAAATAAATTTTTTAAAAGAAGCAATAAAAATCAGTAATTTTAAGCTTGTGAGTAACTGTATGCACAAGGGACATTAGGTCAGGTTATTTTTATCTAACGTGGAGCAGCACAGAGCAAATGACGGTAGCAAATATTCCTCCAGAAATTAAGTAACTCTGATTTAAGTTCTGAGACATAGACTGGAGTGACTCCATAATTTGGGAAAGAAGAAGAAAAGGAAAAAAGGTGTCATCCATAATTACAGTACAGTTTTTATAATCATAAATTAAATGGAAGAATTTGAACTGAAGTAGGTAAGTAATAGAAAACACTCTCAACAAAGCTGCTAAATCTCCACAGAACTTATTCTATGGGAGCAGTATTTGCTGTGTTCTGTGCTGTATTCCTTTGTGGATTGTTTTGTATGGATGGTAAGGTTTCAAAAACCATATGGGTTGTGATGTTTGGTGTTGAATTGGGCTATTGTGCTGATACACTGCTTTCCACCTCCATCTTTGGGCAGAAAATGGGTAATTTTTGTATGTTTGCTCTTGGCAAAAAGGCATTAAAATTGGTGTTCTCCTAAACTGCTTACATATTAGAGAGTATTTTGAAATTATTGTACAAAAATATAATTGCCAAGGACTAGTCAGTGGTCTGAACAACTGCCCTGTTCAGAAAGCAGCAGTGATAATGGTGGTAGATACAACAGTGCACAAATTATGCTTTATTCTTTCTTCTCTGGCATTAAGAACGTTTACTGCTGGAAGCATGAGCTGTTTGGCATTATGTGCACTTCTTGCTGGTATATGGAGAGAATGGGGTGATGTAGTTCAGGGGTTAAAAATACCTTTTCCTAAAGACAAAACATTCTGTAAGATTAAATACAATTCTAGGGTAATGCTCTTCACCCTCAGTTTATGAATAACACTTGCTCCTCTTGAATAGTTTGCTTTTAAATCCTGTTTAGTAAATACCACACATATAGTGACAAATGACTAAAGGAAGAATGGGTAAAGTCTGTGAGATGTTCTTAATTTGCTTTCAAAACCAGGAGTTACGTAAATTGTTTGCATCCTCATTTATTTGCCCAGGTGATTGAATGGGTTTTGGAGAAGACTGGTAAGTAGAGGCACTGTGGATTCCATTCACACCTTCCCAGGAGCTGTGGAGACAGAGCACTTCTGACTGGAGAAGCTTTATACTGCCCAATGCACACACAGATCTGCACACTGGGAGGGCTTTGGTCAGTGGAATTATATAGATGCATTCTTCAAGCACAGGAGAATGGTTGGAAACTTTTTATACTGAAAGTTTTAATTATTTTTTTTTTTAATTCAAATGAAAAGAGATTGCATTTTATATGTGTATTTATTATGTTTGTTAAAATGAATATAGCTTGACTTGGTTTATAAAGCTTTGTATCTTTTTCAACCAGTGTATTTGGTTTTTATATGAATAAAAAACCCCACATATTTAATTTTGATACCTACTACTTTGTTCTACCTTTCTGTGTGAAGACCTCTGTTCTACTTACTACAGCTTGCTCTTGTATAAACAGCTGTTTACAGCATTGGCTGTTAACATTTTATACACTAATTTAAAGAACAGTTACTATTCTTCAGGTGAAAACAATACATAATATATATACATAATAATACATAATCAGAATACATAATGCATAATCAGAATTTGAATAATAATTATCTCTATGTTGTAATATAAGGAAGAAAAAAAGCTTGGCTTGAAACTTGATGCAGGGTCCTATTAAAGAAAGTTTCTTTTCTTTACAAACTGAATTTTGATATAATTTCCTGCATGCTCTTTGTAACATTCCTTGGAAAAATATCTAAGGAGAAGTCTGATTTCTTTTCCTGGGAGAGGAGAAAATCAAAGCAGTAGTGGTAATGAGGATGGTAAGAGCTGGAAAAGAGCTGGTGTGCTATGCTGAAATGTAAAGGGAAAAAGGAGTTTCTAGCTATGTTGCAAACACAGTAAAATACTAAATTTGGCCTCAGTTTGTTTAAGTCTCTGGCATGTACCTGGCTGGGACTGATGTAATTATTCAAGTTAGTATTTTGTTGAGATGAGAAGTTCCTACTGAGCTTTCTCTATTAAGGGTTTCCTATTTATCTTATAAGCTAACAGTATTAAAACTGTCAGATGCAGGGCTATTGTTTGCTATATTATCCTGGTAGGAAAACAGTTTAATCAATACAAATAGAAATTAAATACAATGTAGTGAAAAAGTAATTGAACTAAACCATGTGGAGGTTGGACTTAATACTGTAAAATATATGCTTTATCTAAAAATAATTCCTGATTTTGTGACATTATTCTTTGCTTAATTCTATTTGGTTAAAGCTGAGCCCTAAGGAGGTTTTACATGTCTAACAGGATCTTGAGTTAAAGTGTTCTGTTCCTTTGTTCCCAAGTTTACCATTGTTCTGAACTCCACAAGACCTTTTCTGAGTGGGTGTGTACTGGGTTTAACTGAGCTGCAGTAGGAGAGCTCTGAAGTTGTTCTGCTCTGACAGTGGGCTCTAGAGAGTACTGTGTGCATCTAAGCCCAGGACAAACATAACTACTTGTAAGATGGATTCTATTTGTCTGCAGAATGCCACACATCCACAGCATCCCAGTTTTAGTGATTTGGTAAAATAGAAATGCAATGAAGGATATTTAAATAATCATTTAATAAGTCCACACCCAAAATTGCTCCAACATAATGATTAATGTGTATGGCTCAGATTTCTTTGCATTCAATATAGAAAACAAGAAAATAATCAAGACATTAACCTTTCTTAATATCTTATAGTGAATCAAGAAAGTCTCTACTTCAGAGAGAAAAAAGTTGTAAGCTGTAGCTTTATCTCTTCAGCCTGAATGCTGATATTTCTGTCTGAATACTAAAGCAAACCACTGAAAGTTGTATTTTCTACTTAATTTGGGGAAGTTTATGTATTTGTAATTAGAAAAACTTTGTAGTTAATAATTATACATAAGCTGATAAGTAAAAGTACAGAAGCTCTACATTTCATAAATCCTTGAGGCTAGCTGCCATAAGCAAAGAAAATACCTTCAGGAAAGTAATTAATACTTTGAACTGTTTTTCTTGTACTTCAAGTAGAACTTAATGGTTATTGGTTTAATTAATTTTGTAGACTCAAAGGCTGGCCTGAAATAATCAGCAGGAAAGCAGTTAGGGAAACATAAGCATTTTGATGTATTGGCTTCTTGCACAATTCCCAGCGCAAAACTAATATACTGCTACCCATTCTCATTGGCTCTTTGTGTTGGTGGCTTTTTAGGGCAAGTGGTGGCTGGTTTATGATTGTGGCTTAATAACACTGTGCCCCTTTTGAGCTGTGATAACTGTCCCTGTCCATGCTCTTAACCTACAAAAAAGCAGGCACAATAATTTGACCTGGTCCACTGTAACAGCACTAAACTAAATCATTTTGTATCTGTCATAGTTCCAAAACCCCACACTGAGAGTTCCTGCAGCTCAGCCTATGTGCTGTAACTTAAGTGTTGCAGAATGCAACATCACCCATTGCCTCTGAAATTAAAATTATTTTCTTGTTTGTGGCTGCTGAATCCCAAATCCAGTCTGCCTTATGCATCTTTTGGGTGCTTGCTTTCATGTTTTTTGCAAGTCAGGATATAAGTCATGTATCACCATATATCAAATGTCACCAGAACACATTTCTGGTTTACCCATAATCCAGCCATCCTGTATAGTAAGTATGTAGAATAACACAGAATAACATAATATTATGTATTATATTAGAAGCACATCATCCATCCATGTTATGTGCTTATATTCCCCACAGGACTGGGGTAAGACAGCACTGATGTGGTTGCAATTACTTGGTGGTATGATTACTTGTAATATTACAGCAATTATGTGATGAATATCACTGAGCTACCACAGAACTTAGCTTGGGGGTACTAATGCTTGTCCCAGTTCATAGTTCTCTCTTGGAATTTGCTTTCTAAATTTGTTTCCTAATGTCTCATTATTTACCAGAAGCACGGAAATTCTGATGAAGGAAAAAAAATGAAAAGCAAATCCCATGTGGGAAAAGCAGGTGATTATGTTCAACAGGAGGTTATCATCTCTGTTAAATATTTAAAATGTTTTTCTCATTCTTTTAAATTACATTTTTGCCCTGGTTAGTCTGGGGGTTCACTTATAGTAAGCAGACTGAGTTTCTCAAAATTTTCCAAGCATGTTATTAGTATCTGCTCTTTAAAATTGAAGCCACCACTGAATTCAAAAGTGTCCACAATATACACAGTGTTATTACATATAAATATGTAATATTTACTGTATTAATGTTCTCTCTATATAGTAAATAGACTCAGTAAATAGCTAGTTACCAATCTGCCAGCTTGACTTCTATGAAAAATAACATAAATTTAGAAATCAGTGGCAGTGTAATGATCTGGAGCATGTAATTTCTTTAGGCTCTGATTCTGCTTCCTCTGAAACCACAGAAGCTCCAATTAACTTTTAAGCATGGGTAAGAGGACACTGAAAATGCTTGCAGGTGGATATCGGATCAATCTCCCCTTCAAATCAGCTGAGCTTCCCCATGCCAAGGGCTGGATGGAGTGTGCTGCCAAATGCTGTGGGAGGAAGAGATTCTAACATTCTGCAGAATGAAAGCACTCGTTTTGTTATTTGCAAAGGATAAATTCTAATGGTGTTTGTGGGGGTGATTTGCTTGGTAGCATGTCAAGAATCTCGCTCTGATTTCCGAAGTGCCTTAAGAGAGATGCTTGGTTTCATCTGAAGGGCAGGACTATTAAAAACACCAGTATGATTCCCTGAATACAATCAGATCAGCTTTATTTATTTTTTTTTTAACAAACACTTTAGAGCACATTTTTCCAATAACATTTTTGCTCCAATATGTGTCCCAATCTTTCTCATGGTGAAGCTGCTATACAAATTTTCTGATAAGATCATTCCATTTATAGCCATTATTTTGTGAAAAGAGTGGAACTCTAGAATATCCTGTTTTAGGCTTTCCATGAGGCTGTTCTGTCATAACTTGGGTCAGACTGAAAGAAAAGACTTAAATTCCCACAGTTAGATTTTCTTTTTGGGCCACTAAATTAAGCATTAAATCAAAGGAGAAAAAAAAAAATAATCTTTTCCCATAACCATTTGTAAGAGAAAAAAGGCACATGTTGGCCTTAGTCCTTGAATGCAGAAGCTTTTGCTTTTTCTTAATTTTTTTCCTAAGTCTTGTGTTACCACCTAGTCTAGTAGAAGTGACAGAAGAAAGCATTGCAACTTCAGCAGAGATGTCTGAATGACCTGCCCTGAAACATCCCAGTGGGATTTCAGGTTTGTTTTTCTTTTAAAGTTTTTAAGCCATTCCACCAATGCAATTAACAGTTCTCTCATGTAACAGAAGCACTGAAGTTTAAATGTATTTCTCCCAGCCCAAAACCAAAAGACAGCCTTCCAGATAGTTTGTGTGGATACAAAGTAAGCTCACCTCACAAAAATCCAATAAATGACTTTATTAAATATATTCTTTTCCTCTAAAATATAAATATTCACTATACTGTTATAAATGTGGAGTAGGGTTCATATTTCATTTGTCTATCTCATCCAAATATGAATCAGTCCAAAATCTGAAAATGAAGAAATAGCATCTGTAATTATCATTATTTTTTTTATAAATATATATAATATGAATTTTCTTTGCAAACTGCTTAGTTATTCACTTAGACTTCATATAGTACTGAGCACCTTAGATTACATTTTGTCATTTAATTGTTGGCACTAATATAGGAATTTGTAATATTTACAATGCACATACATGTTAGGTGTAGCATTCCAGTGATCTGTAAGTGTTAAAAGGAATAAGGAAATAGTGCAGTATAGTTTACATATGTATTTAGCCTACCCACTCCAGAATCAAAGTTTTCACTTCAACCTCCGGAACTTTTATAGGAGCCTGTCTCCAAATTTTTAAGTTATACTTTGGAACAGCCATAAAAATGTTCTGAACTGGTTTTTAAAGATTTCACACAACAGTTTCCTTGATAAGGTGACATGAGCTCCTCCTCAGAGTCCTGTCCCCCTGCGTACCGACTGCTCTCAGCTTCTCACATCTCTCCTAGAAGCTTCCAAGCTCAAGGAGTCCCGAGTTACTGCCACAAGAAGTTGTGTGAATGGCAGTGGTCAGAAAAAGTCCATCTGGAAATTACTGGTAAGTTACACAACATGTTACCCCCTACCTTGTTAATTTACATGAGGAATTAATTTTTAAGTGCAAGTACCATGACAATAAAATGAAAGTGCAGAGCTGGGTGGCTCCCTTCCTGGTGTGCCTTTGACTGGTGAGAGGTGCTGGGAATGGGGCTGCTCTTCCAGTGGGACACTGAGCTGTTCTTCAGTGATTGTCTTCTGTATTTATGAATTCAGCCTATCATCCTGATATTTTAATTGGTTTTGATGATTAAGGTACCTGTGGAAATCACCATATTCTTATGCTGTGAATAGACAGCATGACTTACGCTTAACTCTCAACCTTAGCTTAAAAACAACACGGATCCAAAATGTGTTTTAATTTCCCCTTTGCCAGCCAAGTGGTGCAAAGTTGAAATCTATGTGCTTTTCTCAGGAATAAAAGAAATGTTGTAATATGAAAACTGAACATCCACTGAATATATTGTGAACAACACTGAATATATTACTGCCTTTACATTACTGTATATTACTTCCTGTCCTTCAAAGTGTGAATTTAGGGCATAACTCTAAAAGTAGACCCCTGTGTGAAGCTGTTCTTTTTACAAAGGAAGAACAACATAAGTGGCATCCCTGTTTTGCTTCTTCCTTTTCTCAGCAGATCACATGATGCCATTTTATTACTTCCAGGTGCAAGCTGTGTGTATCATCTCTGGGGCTGAAGGTCAGTGTTCCTGCCTGCTTTTTGTGGTTTAAGTAGCTGTGCATAAGGCTGAAACTCAGTGAATCAAGTTTTGAGCCACAGCAGTAAGCTGTGGTGCAATACAGTCACCAGTAAGCTGTGGGCATGGAGATGAACATCTTGTATTTCCCCAGCAAGAAAATTGGTCTTGCCAAGTCATGCCCACAGGAGCAGTTCCATGTCAAGGGGTGCAGCTCATTTTCCTGCCCTGGCATATGTTTCTAGCTGTTGTGGAGCTGCTTCAATAATTTTTTTTCAAAAATTCATAAAATCAAGTTTTCCTTCCTCCCTATGTTAGTTCTTCTATGAAGACCACCAAGACAACCAGCCTTGTCTGAGAAAAGGGGTGGCTCAGTAGGGGCAGCAGGACAGAATGTTGGTATGGCTTTCTACTGGAAAACTGCCACAGAGCTATGCTGGTAGAAGCACAATCATGCCTCAGAATGGATTCAGGTAGCTTCTACCTGAGCTGGGGCTCCCAAATAGCTGAAGCTCCTTAAGCTATTCTGGGAAGTCACTATAAAAATGTATCCTGTGTTCATTAACAAAGGACTGTGGCTACTGCCTGTGCCCCCTGACAGCCTCTCACTACCATCCCTGTGGCTGGTCCTGCTTTGGCTCCATCACGAGGAGTGTGGGTGACATGGTTACTGCTTCATGTGAAACTGCCCCAGGCAGGGGCCCTCCAGCTGTTACCTGACCACAGCTGGATTGCTTCAGAGTCCAACTCTAAGGTGTGTATTTGCAGGCTCTGCTGTGTATTCATGCAACAGGTTCTGGCAGTGTTCCAAAAGAAAAATCTTCTGTCAGAGGTGCAGGGATTATAACTGAAAGGACCTTTCAGGTGATGGGACAATCTTTAGAGGATTTCTCCCCAACCAACCTTGGCTTGCATCGCAACCAACAAGTGCTCTTGCCTGCATAGCCCTTTACTTTGTATAGACAAGTACATTGAAATAGGCACAATTTATGATTCTGAAACTTTTACATATAGGGTACTACACGCTTTTACGGTCTCATATGGGATTTTAAAATCCCATTATTTACAATGAAATCCACCATCTTCCTTGTCATGCCATCTCTTTAGCTGGTCAAAATGAAACCTGGGCCTTGGAGGACTGCAGAAATGATCAATGCCCAATCCTGAGTCCCAGGCTGGTGTCTGCTGCCAGCTGGGACAGGTTGCTGCTCTTGACTGTACTTCAGATTAGTGTGGTTACCCTGTCTCTCTTTGAAGAAACAGATGGATCCCACTTATGCCACCAAGCCCAATCTTGTGATCTTTGCTGACAGGAAGGAATGAATGATGAAAACAATTGGTTTTGGACAGGAATGAAGGTCCAGTTGCTGAAAGAAAAAAAAAAAAAGTCAAGCTGAGAATTATAGCTCAAACAAGAAATCATTTACTGAGTACTCAAACTGCTGTCTTGTATTTTGAACAGGCTTCTATTAATAACAACCCTTCTCTACACCATATTGTTTTCCCATTGCATTCAGCTGCAAATACTTAGGTTACTAAAAGTAGTAAGCATCTTGGGAGCAGGTGAGATCCTGGTGCCTCTGGTCTTGTATCCACCTGGGTGAGCAGCAGAAAACTGAGTCAGATGCTGCAAGCACTTTCCAAGAGGCTCAGCCCCATCTTTTTTGGCCATTTCTGCCTGGGATGGTGGTGGCACTGCTCTGTTTGATGCCCAGTGCCTCTGCTGCTGGTGCAGGTGAAGTACCTTCAGCTGGTGCTGCACAGCTGCTTCTCTGTTCTCACAGCCAGCAGTGAGACTGAACTCAGACTTTGTTTTCCATAGTCATGGTTCAGGTGATCCCACCACACACTTGCCAAGCTTGTCAGTGTGCAGAGGCCCCACAACAGAGTCACATCAAAATAAACCATGTTTGTCTTTTGTGGTGGTGCATTCTGCCCTGCTTCCTCCTTTTTCCAGGCTGCTCTGCAATCTGAGAAATGCTCATTAGGCCTTAGCCTCGAGAAGCAGCATCTGGGCTCATCCCGTCTTGAGTTTATCAGAAACACCTGTCTGCTCCCAGGAACTACTGCTGGCTAAGTAGCTCCTGTTTTCCTTATGAACAACCTTGTAAACTATTTTCCTTGCCTGAACAGCACAACATTCCTGTTCTCACCCTTTGGAAGAAAGTGCTAACCCAAATTGTGGCCAGGATGAAACACTGTTATGACTAAAGCTGATTCTCTTACAACCCTACAAACAGCTGTACAAAATGAGATCCTTTGAGCTCTCCTGAACTGCAGCAACTCTGTCTGAGCAAAGCCTCTCAGAGCCAGTGAATTCTCAGGTTTGCTGTGCTTGGAGGATCACCAAACAATGAGTCCTGGGCTGGTACCCTCACTGCTTTGGTCCTGACCCTTCACCCATCAGGAGGTGCAAAAGCATCCAAAGTGAGTGCTTCCCTGAGCTCTGAGGGGAATTTTTCACAGGTACCTTGCTTGCATTGACTCTTTCTGTCTGTGTGCATGCACCTGCTTTAGCAAATCTGGGAGAAATGCTAATTTCTTAGATGTTTAAGAACCTTAGATATCTCAGTAAGTTAAATCATAAGCTGTAAGCTAAGTTAAATGCTGCTGAGTGGTGTTCTAGATGCTAACTTCAACTTTGAAGTCATAAATTGGGTTAAATGCTGTTATTCCTCTGCTAAATTGTTAAGTATAAGTTAAGTGTCATTCCTTTGTTAAAATGTTACATTTAAGGTATAAGTTAAGTACTGTAAAGTGTGAGTGCTGTTAAGTTTTTAGACTGTGTTCCTTTTTATCCTTGCCTTTGCTATCCTTTTGATATGCAGACCTTAACACACACACAAGCCCCATAGATAATTCTCAGTTAATTTCTGTTTTGATTGCCTGGATTTTGATTGTCTGGTTTTATTGTTGCTTTGTTTCCTTGGTGTGCCTTAATTGTCCTGTAGGCAGTAGAGGGAATCATACCAACAAACTCTGTCATGCTGCCGCTAAATATTAAATCTGGTTTCTGCTGATGCCCTTGCTGGTGATTTTTTAAGCAATCTCAAACACTTGTTCATAACACCTTTCCAGCAGTCATGAATCAAGTCTATTGACAGCTAGGAAGAAATTCTCTTCAGAAGTCTGACCAAAATGAGCAGTTTGCAGAGTATATGTTAACAAAGATGATGTTTAGAATTCAGCACCCACCATGTTTAGGAACAGCTAAAAAAATCTATGAGGAAAGACCATGTTTACATTCATAATTAATGGATTTAAACCGCTCATTGGAACGTGTGCCTTATCTTTAGGCATTGTGACAGCTTAGAGCCCTATGCAGACAGCTTTCACAACATCTGTAGCTTTTTTTTTCAGCAACTACATGTTCAGAAACACCTAAAACATAGCTTGTTGTCAAAACATGAAGTCCCTATGTGTACAGTGGAATTAATTAGGTCTCATTTTTCTTTCACCCTCAATTATTTAAAAAAGTGAAATGGATATATAAAAGAATTTTAACATCTGGCTATTTAGAGGCACAGTTTGTTCTTAAGTATGACAAATCTTTCAGCTCTCTTTGTATGGTTTTACAATTTTAACTGTCTTTTTAGTTTATCGCCTTCTAAAGCCTGATCATCATGCTGTGCTAGAAAGAAAAGTGTCTAAATATTGGTACTGGAACCTGGCACTGGCCAGCTGTTAGAATGGAACAGAATGGAATGAAGTATTTCAGTTGGAAGAGGCCTACAGGGCTCATCTAGTCCAACTTCAATTAGTGCTTCTCCACGCCCATACCCTTTAGGACAATCAAAGAGATGGTAACATGCATCCCTTTGCTAAATGCAGTAATACTTACTATTTCTCCATCTTTTTCTCCAAAGTCTAAATAAAGCATTCTTATCCCATCATCTGAGGACATTTTCAGTTTTTCATAGGGATATTGTGCAATTATCTTGGAGAAGGCACCATCTTGTGGTTCGGTTGTAAGGGAGAATCCATGTTCATAATGGATGGTCAAGCGGCACTCCTGGCTTTTGTATGTGCAAGCTGGAGAAGAAATCAAAATTTAGTCTCTCACAGTCTTAAAAGCAGTTTTTCATGTTGCATCATACATCCACATGCTGACAAAAAACAGTGTACTGAAATTTAAGAAGGCTCAGACCAGTGTTTCCTCCTTCCAAACCTTGACAAAGTCACAACTACTCTTCTTGCATCTGACAGACACAGCCAGAATCAATAAACATGGCACACGATACATGAGAAAATTAGGACCTGTAGAGGATTTCTCTAAAGTATTTTGACAAAGATGAAGACACTTCTGAGTCCTCCTTAGTGTTGTGGTAATTGAAAAAGGGCCCAGGTAATTGTGTATAATAGCTCCTGCAGCAGAAAATCTGCATCTTCCACTCAGCTCTGAAAGAGGCCATGATCCAAATTAAAGAATTAAGAGTTTTGGAGTTCACATCCCAAATTTACTATTCCACCACTTTCTTGGAACAATTCTACCAAGAAGGATCCTTGGCAGTGGGATAAAAGCACGGTGATAAGAGAAGGGGCTGATGCCCTTCTTTTGGAAAGAATGGCATCTCTGTCACAGTACTGAGGAGATGGACCTGTTCTCCAGCTGCTTCCCCCTGAGTTCTCTGGTTTGCACATCAACCATCCTGAGCTCCCTGTGGGGGCTGGGGCTGCCAGCTGACACAGCCACGTGGCTCTACCTGAGCTTTGAGAAACAAGAACTGCCCTTCAGCACGGCTGCATTTGTGCTTTGGCTCCTGCTCTCAGACTTTTAGGAAATGAGTGGAGATAAAATTTAACATTAACAGCCCTGCCAATTGTAGGACTAACAGGGGAAGTACTCCAAAGCCTGGGGACACTCAGGAGAAAGGCCCAGCCTCAAAGCCCAGAGCCACACCAGGCTTGCAGCTACCTGGCCAAACAGGGCTTCACTCCAGAGCATCTGCAGCCAAGTTCTTTTATTGCAATTGATTTTGCATGTACAGAAGCACTAAGAAGTGACACCCTGATGTTCAGGGAAGGGAATTAATACCCATCAAAATGTAGTTATTAGACTGGTTTGTGGTTTTTTTACTCTAGTATGTAGAGCTGGGTGAATAAATGACCAGTTCATACTTGTGAATTTGCAGGTCCCTTCTGCCTTCTCCCTCTGCAGGAAAAGCTCCTGCTAGGCTAGCAAGAGTTTCCTAAATCTCAGAAATACGCTCTTTTCTGTGTCTTTTTCTGTCTTTTCTGGCAGTCACTTGTCTGTGACATGAAGGCCTACATGGCTGACTACAGATTTGTTTCTGAAACAACATGCTGAAAACAAACCCAAAAGTCAGCATGACAATGAGCGTGTCACTGAACACAGGTACAATAGCAGCTGGGACTGGCTCAGAACTTGACAGTATTTTAAACAAGTAGAATCCTAAACATGCATATTTATAAAACAAATAACCTCTAGCAGAAGGAACTTGAACTGCCGGAGGGTGTGGAGGTGTGGGAATGGTGGGGCTGCAGGTGTTACTCACATGTGGTGATTTCTGTGATGAGCTCTGCAGAATTGTGGCAGCCCTGCACTACACTCCTTGTCCACAATGAGAGGTCTCGACTGGTCTCAGTCCTGAACAGATGAGTTTCAATCCCTTGTCTTGTACCAGTACGGGTTGCAAAAGACAAATCCACCCCTGACTTCGGTGAGCCTTTTCCTGGCCCAGAATGAACCAACCTGCAATTGGATTTGGAAACACATCAGGAAATTCTAACAGTGCACTGCACCAAAATCCCCACCTGAGCGCAGCTCTGCTCTGGTTGGCAGCATGAGAACTCAAATCCCCTCTATTTTCTCTCAGAAGAGTGATGATCCAAGGCAGTGAGCACAGAAGCATCTGGACACACAGGTGATGACATGGATGTCCCAAAATTACTTAATGAATTGAACAAAACATCCCTTTGGATGAGGAACTGAGAGAAATCCCTGACTGGTCTGTGGTGATGGAATCTGGTCCACAGATACAAGTGCTGGCTCAGATGAGGCACCTGAATCCAGCTTCCACTGTGAAGCAGCATTTGCTCTAAAGCATAAACATCTGCTGTCAAATTCAGTGATAAATAGTGTTGACTAAAGTATGAAGCTCTGTAAAATATGTAGATGCCAAAGTACTGTCTTGTACTTTTCCCATAAGGAACCTGTAAAATGCAAAATGTTGCAGCTACTTGTAATCTGAAATTCTCTCATATTTGTCTGCAATTAACATTTTTTTGCCCAGCATCAACAGCTGATCTCCTGTGGCCAGGGAAGGTTTATTCATGTGGGCAAACAAAAATTGCAGGGAATATTTTTTGAGTGAGAAAATCAATACCTCATAAAAATTAATTCTTCCTTAAATCTGCCCTTTTATGTTGTTTTTTTTCCTCTCTAAAAGTATGGACAGTCAACACAGAATTCACTCAAGGACACAACACTGATTCATCTGAAAAGAAGAATCATGGGGAGCTCATCACTCTGAGATTCAGAGACCAACCCTGAGAGGCAATCAAAAAATGAAATTTGTCTGAAAAGCTTATTTCTATCTTGTGCCTTCTGTTTTTTCTTTCTACAGGCAAACAATATATTTCATAGTAGTCTATAAAGTATGTGGCATGGTAGTGGAACACTTGTGCTACAGGATAAAAACATTAGATTAAACTAATCTACTGAATACTAATTTCTCCTCAAATTATTGTTTCTTATCAACAAGAACAGTTGCCTGTTAGCTGACACTGTTTGGGTATGCCACCAAACAGGATTTTTTTAGTAGAAAAGAAAGAAAAAACACACTTTAGCTTTTCAATTATTGAAACACCAGCCACAGGGCATCTGAAATTTTCTCCAATTCCCTGACAGTCTGTGCTGACATTTGGGATGCACATTGTGGCAAAGAGATGCACCCCTCTTTCATATCCCACTAGAAGGTTTGCAAGATTTGCTCATGCTCAAGTTCATGGGAACTTTCTTTTGCTTTTGAGCATCCCCCTTGATTTTATGGTCCCAAGAGCTTCTGGGAAGGGAGATACAGAATATCCTGGTCAGAGATGCTCTGCCCTGTACCTGGGCAGGATGAGAAGGGCTTTTTTTCTCTCTAGAAAGGCTGAGTTAATTCCCCACTCAGCTTTGATATTCAGAGCCTCCTATCTGTACTAGAGGAGATTTCGTAGTCAGGGACTGAATGGCAAACAAACAGCCCAAAAATTTCAATTCCCTTTCATTTGGTGTGAGAGGGTGCAAACTCTGAGGGAAGCTACATCTTGATAACTAAGGCAGGAATTAGGGAACTGAAATCTCCAGTGACATCTGCTGCTGTCTGTCCCTGGCTGGTCACCCAGGCACAGCCACTGCTCTCATGCTGCCTTCGGCTACGGGGCTGTGGAAAAGCAGCCTGGAAAATCACATTGAGTTTGTCATTAGAAATAGAACTAATCCACCTTTTTCCTGGGTCATCTCCTTTATGCAGCGCTCATCAGCTGTACTAAAAATAATTTTCTATTACTTATGTTCCTGAGTACATAACAAACAGATGGTTCCAATGTTTGATTTCCTTCCAAAACACACAGCACCAGCACCCACTCCCCCACACCTTCATGCTGTATCCATAGCACTGTATTGTAGGTTTTTCAGCATATGGATAGAATGAAGATGTACTTTACAAATTAAGTTATGTGAACATATCCAACATGAACATTGATTCTTGCCAGCCTTTTCTCATTATCTCCTCATTATTAAAAATCCAGTTTCACTATTTAAAGATGCTGTTCCTTCAAGCAACTCCAGATGATGCTTTGGAAAGTCATGCACTTAAACAGGAACTAGACAAACATGCAGAAGGACATTTGATAGCATTTATGTATCAGCTGTCAGTACTGCAGTACTTGGGTACAGATCAAAGGATTCCCGTGCCTTAATAAAGTTGCATTAACGTGGGCCATTTCATCTAAATAGAAGGTGTTTTATCCTAAAGACACAGAGATACTTCAAAAGGCAAAAATCAGCCTCAGACAGCTGACAGAAGGCTTCCCCTCTCTCCTGTCTCCCATCACCCTGACTGCAGGGAGGGGCTGTGTGCGGGGTGTGTGCTGCACCCCAGAGCCGAAGCAGCACCCCAGGCCCGGATCTGGTGATATTCAAGCCCTTGAAGGTTCCTGTGCTCCGTGGATGTTTCTGGGGGTATCTGCGGCAGCGGAGCCCCGAGCGCCGCTCCCGGCACAGGCACAGCCGCGAGAGGGCAGGAGAAGGCTGAGCTCGCACGGAACGCGGCGGCTGCAAAACGCAACCCTCGGCATCCTCCGGGAGCCCCGGAGACACTTCTCATCCGCTCTCATTTCTCCCTTGTCCCTCTATATTTCGGGGACCTTTTTAACCTTGTTCTTTGCAAACGTGTGACAGCAAGAAATGGTCTAACATGAAGTGCTGGTGCAGGATGACATGCACCGGGACCTGCGGCTCATCCTAATGCCATGGGAAGAGTTTCAGCAATTCACGGCCAGATCCAATGGTCTCTTCAGAAAGGACAGTGAAACCAGCACTGACATTCAAAGGAAGCCTTCAGCTGCTCACTTGAGATTTAGCTCAGAGGAGACCACGTACAAGTGCATCAACACTTGTGCAGCTCTGCTGGTTAGAACATCACCGCCATCTGACCTTTCCTGTGGCACCCTGACTTACCCTGCCCTGGAATGGCTCCTTGGAAACCGATCTCCGAATTCATCTGCACCGAGGCACCCACAGCCCCCCTCACCTCCTTGGGGAGACAAGCAGACAATTCACACAGCACCTCAGACACCTTCCTGGGGCTCTCAGGGCACCCAGTGCTTTCTGCCTCTCGCCTGCCCACCTGCCTGGATGACTGATCAGTGCCCAAACTCCTTCCCCCTGTTTTCCATGTCATTAGCTATCAAACTGCTTTAACACTTTCTGGTTTCACACCTCGGCTGTTCACAGAAGCTTCTTACCTGATCTTTAATCAGAGCCCAACATAGGCTGCTTTTTTTTTTCTCCTTTCATATCTAGCTATGATAGATAATGGAATTTGATTGCAAACATACAAGATGTAATTACTTAAGCCCCATTCCCATGCTAGAGAGAGGCACTGTTATTCAGGCATAAGGCAACACTGAAACAGATTATGACAAAAAGGTCCTTGGAGTCAGGGCTGCGTGCCAGCTGCCCTGCCTTAAATCTGATCTCAGATTTATTTGAGCTATTATTTATATTCCAAGCAAAGCTGGAAAATATTTTTAGGTCTTAATGACATCCATAGGTTGTAGGCAAACTTACCAACAAACAAGAAGGGCATGTTGAAATTTTGCTGTTAAAGGACTGTGAGAAGATTGTAATCCTTCTACAACTTTCCAATTTTCTCTGCTCATTATGTCTTGGGTAGATTAAGCATGACTCTGTACAGTATCTGGCACTGAAGTTTTCCAGTTTCAGCAGCTTTCCAAATATGCATTAGCTAAGCAAAAATGTTTTCCCAAGGACTCATAAAAATCTGAAAGATGGGAGCAGCTAAGATTACAACATGTGCTCTGCAAACTTTCCAGGTGAAAAGTTCTAAATTGCTCTGATCAATGCACAGAGGGGATTAAAAAACTCATCACGAGGAGCGGAATCACTGACCGAGAATGAACACAGCAGTCAATACCAACAGAAAACCTGATGTGTTTTTTTGCTATAACTCTACTCAGTGTGGCAGATCATACAAGCAGGACCCTGCAGGGTTTTAATTAAAATCATCCAAAACAGGAAGTGTAATGATTTAGGGAATCTGTCCATTTATGGAATTTGCTGTATATGTGTATTTATCACATTGTGACTCCCATTCTGAACACTAAATTCTGTATAGCTGCTGTCTTTTTATCTGGGTGTTCCATTCAGTGATAGTAGTAAGAAATTGCAGAAATAGGGCTGGAATGGTTGTCAGGAGGTCACTCAGCACATCCTCCTTCACACAGCAGAGCTAACTGTGATGTGTGTCACCCATTCTTCCATGTCCCCAAACATTTCCCAAAGAATCTAAACCAGTACCTCACCAATTCCCTGCCACAAGTGCAGTCAGCTATGTCCTGTTGTGTTCAGGAGGGATCTAGAAAAGATACACACTCCTTGTGTCTTATCTTCATATCTGAAAACTATTGACATGTTTTACATGGACTTCTCTAAGTTAAGCTACTAAGGTTTCTTAAGTATTCCCCTCTTGATAGTGTTTCTACATTATATATTTGCATTGCTTTCTTCTAGATCTTTCACAGTTACCTGGCATCTTTTTGGAAGTGTCATGCCTCTCATGAACATGGGCTTTACTCATTCACTGTAGAGATATGATTACTATATCTGCTCAAAATGTAACATTTCTGCTATAACCCAAGATGATTGTTTTCATTTTCCCCTCTTAAAAACACAGCACCTTAGATTGAAGCAATGTTAGCACGGTGCTCAGCTGCTTCCTCGTAGAGCAACTACTTTGTTGCTCACATTCCACCCCAAAATAGCAGAGGTGATTATTCCCCAGCACTGAACTTTGCACCTGTCCTTTTTGAACTGCACCCTGGCTTTCTTACAGACCATCCTGGCTTTCTTTCTTCCCAGCATCTAAAGACCCTTCAGCAGCCTGACACACGTGCTGTGCAACCTCTCATTCCCTTCCAGCATGAAGACCAATGTTTTTCCACTCAGGAAGGTATCCCATCAGACAAGGAGACGACCTTCCCCACCCAAGGCAAGTCTGTCTGCTATCCAGTGTGACCTCTTGAGAAAAAATAATTAGGTAGCAGGCCCCAAGATGTGGCCTTAGATTGTCTGATGATTAAACTGGTCTCACTGATGATGGGAGCTGTCAATACTCAGCAAGGAGTTGTCTTTACACAAACCAACACGTGGCCAGGAAGGGGCAGGCTGCACTACAAGTACCCAGTCACTTCAAGGAGGATTTGAGCTCATGTGAAAATGAACCCTCCCCAAATAGGGGAGGAAATGCATCACCTTCTGCTGGGGTGCTATTGCCTCTCAAACTCTAAGGCGTAGTGACACAGCTGGACACAGGCTGCAACACCTCACCCAGCTTTCACTGGGACTTGTCACCTAGAAATGTCAACATCCAGCACCACACCATGCAGCAGGCTGCAAGCTGCACAGCTGGTGCCTCCCACCCCGTGCTAGGGTAACAAAGGGGGAGTCAGATGGTGGCTTCCCAGCAAGTCTGAAAGCCCCATCACACGCAGTTAGACTGGGACAACCAGTCATCAGTGTAAATCAGTGAGGTCAATTTTTATTTTTTTAATATAATGACTTGGTAGCAAAGCGTCAGTTCATTTGAGGAGAGACAGAGAACAAAAATAAACTAATGAGAGTGCAGTAAGAGACCCACTGCTTCTGGCTGGGGCAACCAGCCCTTCTGAATGAGAACTCATTGAAAATGGTATAATAGAGGCCTGTAGCAAGGCTGTAACAAGGAACAACAGCTCTTTCTCAAGCCCTTTGACCATACTGGCAGAGAAACATGATTAAGATTCACACCAAGAAGCACAGACAGTTTCCACTGCATAAAGGCAACCATGGGAAAGCTCTCTCTAAATTAGTGCTAATGGATACCTTCAAAATAATGCAAATGCTTATTTCCAACCTAGATTCAAGAATGTGTCTTCCAAGCTTACCATTTTAAGCTAAAAAAATCCAGGAATTAATTTGCTAGAGCAGGAATAGAAGCTGTGTTGGAAGTGTTTCCAACACATGTGGAACCCTCCAAAAGGCCCAAACTGGTGGTGCAGAACTGCCACACCAGAACATTCAACTCAGGGCAACAAGTTCACTTTGTTTTAGCCTGGAGGAACTGGAAGTCAGAGTGTTTCTGCCAAGCTCACAGGTCTGCACACTGAGATAGGCATCTCAGGAGACTGAGCTCTTGGCTTTTTCAGCACTCCTGCCTCTGTATCCAGGCCAAGTGGCCACAGCCAAAATCCCATTGAGCTTCTGGTCATCAGCCTCAGCCAGAACTTGAAATGGTGGAGGAAAGAAGAGTTAAGCTCAGTACATCAGCCCACTGAAGAAGAACCTGCTTTTCCAACCACAACATTTCAAGTCTGACTCAAGCTGTGTACCAGCTCTACCCATTCCTGGCTGACTCAGCTGTTCCCGCTGCTCCTGAGCTGTCATGATAATAAAGCAAAGGTACCTGGTGGCGAGCAGGGGGTAGGTATGCACAGGACTGAACCAGGCTTCCTTCATCCGTGGCATGCTCTCATATATTAACAGGTCTTTCTCTGTCAAAACTACTAACACTGGCTTCCAGTGCTTCTCATTGTCTCCTGGCACCTGGAAAAGAGGAAAGTCTCAGTGAAACAAGAGACAAACTACCACCATGCAAAGCCAGATGAGACATATATGTCAAATTCCGGATGAGAAAATGAACACAAGAGAGTTTTACTTCTCTGGCTTTTTGACATCTCCCACCTGAATTTATAATCAGATGCAGCAGAAATGGAATAACGTACGAAGTCATCTGCTGCTACCTTTAGCACTGCCATTTCCAGCCTTCCTTTAGTACAGGCTACTCCATAAATGCAGTATTGGAAGAACACTGAGGTGGAGCTGGCTGCTAGTTAGCTGTGGTATGCATGAAAGGACCTTAAATGTATATTTATAATGTGCACCATTCATGAGTAGCTGGCACATTAACCTGAGTCCTGCACACTGCTGCTGCTGTTTCTGTTTAAAAAGGCTGCAACATCATCACTATTAAAGAAGAGTTATAGATAGCAAAAAGTAGTGGTTTGGGAGTAGATGCTTTTTTCCTCAGCAGTTTACTTTTTTTTTTTTTGCTTGTCCTTCCTTCATACCATTCTCCCCATTTTAGAAATGCCTTTATAAAGAGATCCACCCTAAATGTGGGGTTGATATCAAGCACTGACTCTGGGATGGATGTGCCTTCACATTTAAAACCTTTCTGCCAAAGATGTCTAAAGACCAGAGCATCAGAGCCCTTTACAGGCTGCAGAATTCAGATGTGGAATATTTTGCAGGTTAGATGTGTGATGTCCACATGGCAACACAATTATTGTAATGGGGACTATATGTATGGATCCTGGATTTCACTTCTTCTACTCTGGCAGCATACAAATGTCTTAAAATAGTTAGGAATATGAAAGGACCTTTGTTTCAAGTAAGACTGAAGCTCTTTAACTGACAAATCATTTTTCTTTTAGGGCACATAAATAAAAAGAAACACTAGTTCACAGTAATGGACAGCCATGCCTTCAAACACAAACATCTTGGCTGGATACTAAAAGGCATGAAAGAAATTCTGAAATTCACCAGAGAATCTGCTTGTCTTCATGACTCCTCTACTAAAACCTCTCCTGGGACAGAGAAGCAGCTGTCTGTGCTGCTCTGTGGTGATGCCAGCCTACTTGCCACAGGCATGTATCACTGGGCACATTGTTAGCTGGAGAAACATACAAAAGGGATCAAAGTTTGGCCAGGCTGGGAATGGCACACCCAGGTATGATAATTCAGAACCACATTTGAAACACTTATATTTTATACAAAGACACGCTCCCACAAATTTCTAAACTTTTAAGGGCTTTCAAGATGTAACACACCTTTTCCTCAGAACACCAATGTCTAAAAGCATATCTTAAACTAAGATTTTTGGCTCGTGTGATTTTTAAGATGTATTTCTCCCTCTGAACGAAGCTTTTCCAATAATCATATTCCTGTTTACAGCATTACTTGCTCGTTGGTTGTTCAAGTCTCTTGAAGTCAAAAACAATTTGTCCTTTCAATTTCTACAGCAGCACTAATACTTATTTACAATTTTCTTGTGGTGACAGTTTCTTGAAATGCAATCTTTCATTTTTGAACAGGGCTGAATAGAGAAGCCACATAATTAACACACACATTATTACACTCAAGAAAGAATGCAAAATCCAGAGTTCTCACAGTCCAGGTACCATGAAAATATTCACACGAGCAAAAAGCATCCTCAGTTTCTTAATACCACAGCTATGAACTAGAGTTAACACCCAGTTCCTAGCGTGGGAATACAGAAATGAGTGTCACAGTTAATATTAACATTCAGTAAATGTTAATGTTTAATTTGGACCACCTCACCTGTGCTCGTTAACTAGAAAGACTTTAGTACATACTTTTGAAGATTTCCAGAAAAGAAGAAGGAAGATAAATATGAAATCTCTGGTATCACAAGCAATCTAAAGACTGTGGGAAGCTGTTCACAGCTTTTCTGTAGAACCATCCTGCCTCTGTAGAATTTTCAATCACAATTTAAGTTTTGTCATCAGGTGGCTGGTCAGTCAACAGTGACTACAGAAACTTTGGGAAACACAAGCAATTACAAGAAAGAGAATAAAACTGATTTTGTCAGCTGATCCCACAACTCTTTGCTGGACAGCTGTAAATATTAGGAGACAGAATTTCCAGCATGAATCCTGAAGTTAATGACCTGCACTGTGAAGCCCACAGCTTTGCCCCAGTCCTCCCCAACAGCAGGGTGACTGTGGAGATGTGGCTTAGTCATAAGGTATTGAAGATTTTTCTCAAGAGTAAGTGACCTTACACTACCCCTGCTTGCAGGATGTATCCCTTGTTTGTAGGGTGTGTCCTGGGAAAAGGTGAGGAGGGGAATGATATTTGCTTGTGTCCTGCTCTGAAGCCCTCCCCAGTGAGAAGGGCCATGCAATACACACAGTTTTCAGCAGTTTTTAAACCTTACTGGGACCATAGCTGCCTCACTGATGAGGAATGCTGGTGTAAGCAACACTGCTGCTATTTCAGACCTGAAGAAGGATCTGTGTGCTTGAAAGCCTGTCTGTTTTTTCCCAACTGTAACAGCTGATCTAATAAAAGATACTGCCTTTCCTTAAAAACCTTGAATTGCATCACTGTTCCCTTATTTTGTAGGGTTTGAATCAGACTGTAACAGCTGATGCCATGCTGTTCAACAGGCAGTTGGCACTTCTGGAAGGTGTCAAAGAGAACATGCTGTCCTGTAAATGGTAATAGCAGATTTTACAAAGGAAGAAGAGATATACCATTAGCCTACAGGGCCCATTCATCACAAATCCACATGAGAAATTAATCCAGATCAACAACTGTTATAGCAGGCATGGGTACAATAGCAAATTACAAATCAAAAGCAAAAAACATGCTGCTTGTGGGCAGCTAAGTGAAAGATTTGTTCATGTTTTAAAGGTTTTTAAAGGTTTAAATATCTGACATAAAGATAACATGAAATACCTGTGTAAGAGTAAATTTAAATATCATTTGAGATACATTTTACATGCATGGTTTTAGATAATGATTAGGGTCAGTTCCTTAGCCAGAATTTTGCAGAATTCTGGCACTTGAACTACGGTTTCTTCACTCCAGTTCCCACTTGCACTTGTACAATTTAAAGTGCATTAAATTGTAATCAGTGTTGCAGAGAAATAAAATCACCATCCACTCTAAAAAACTTTTCAAACTCAACCCTTTTTCAAAGTCAGAATTGTTAGATCAACTCCAGATGAACTACAGAAAAATCAGTACTCTACAACAAAATGAATCAGCAGATATTTTTCTGGTGTTCTGGGCACTGCTCAAGTACCTCCAATCAACAGGTACCAGTGTTCCCTCTATGTGTCACTGGGGTCACCGCTTACATTCCCAGGAAAAATTCCACTTCAAGCCAATGAAGCTATAAATGTTTTTGCCAGAAGAAAACTTGATTTTTTTGTTTCCTAGACATACTGTGCCCCTAGATCAAAGTCTTAAAGCACAAACTTGAAAAGGGAGAACATTTTTCTAAGAAAATAACCCAAGTGCAGTGAAGAATCATTTTTGCTACTCTAAACCTCTTTGCTCCTCATTTACTCACCCCTTTAAATGGAAACACCACTTTTTCCTGTATGCGTGTCTTTGGTTTACCTTTCCAAATTCAGAAAACATTTCATGTGCTGCAGGGATGAAATCTAATTTTGTTGTGTATAACAGCATGATGGCTGGGCTTGGGATGGCACCAGAGGAGACCTGTGTTCACGACTGGCTCAGACACAGACTTCCCCCGCAGACTCAGGTTAAGTGCTCTGTGTTTCCACACGGACACTGCAGTCTCTGCTGGGGTGTCAAGTGCTGCTGTGACACACACAGTGGCAACAGACAGCAATGTGGGGGCAGACAAAACGTGTGCAAGAACAGCTGCTGAACTCCAGCAGCTACAGGGAGACTCGGGCATCAGCCTTTGGCTGACACATCCACGCTGCAGTGCAGGACACACGCAGGGCTGGGACACGCCAGACCCCACGGCACGAGGACATGCCTGAGCTCCGGCTGCCTCCCATGCCTGTGCAGTGCCAGGCTTTGCTTTGGGACCAGATCTGTGGTGCCAAGGACTGGCTGCAAGCACTGACACAAGCTCAGCACCACCTGTGTGGCAGCTCTGCTCCTGCTGCTTTTCTGGCCACTGCTCACAATGTACCCTTAAGGAGTAATTCCCTTGGTAGACAGCAGTGCTTGAAAGGAGCCAGATTGTTGTGCCTGAAGTGATGGGGACCCCTGTCCCCTCCAATGGGTATCACAGCTTCCAAACCTTGAACAGTTTTTACACATAATCAGTTGCTGTAAAGACAATAGACATCTCAGTGGATATAAAGTCTTTTACAAACTGTTTGGACCTCTTCTCTGCCATCCGCCAGGTCTCCTTTTCAATAGGTTTTTCTTTGAATTTCAGTTATTCATCTACTTCAGGCTGTCAGGAATGGATGAAAAAATACTTTCAATCTGTGACATAGATAATTGAATTAGATGCCTTGGTCTACTCTGAATACTCCTGGTTTACTCTTATATTTTTGTTACCTCAAAAGGGACATTTTAATTACATTCCCTGTTTAGCAAACAAATTATAAACTGCCATCATATTCCACTGCAGCAAGTATCCATATGTCTTTCCAGAGACCACTGTGAAGGCAGTAAGTTTATGTCTACAGTAAGTGGTTTGTTTAACCCCCTTTTCTAATGCCTCCTCCCAAATCTCAGACCTACGTTACCCTCTAACTGAGCACAGGAGGAGCAATCAAGAAAGAATTTTCTTGCTATTTTACCTCTTCCTTAAAATCTCTCTGTGCTGACAAGCCAGATTTGACACGGGCTGAGAGATGTGTTCTGCTACGTATTTCTTGCCTTTTCATTGTCTTTTGATGAAAGGTTACATCCATGTTCAGAATAAATTTGATTAATTTACAGAAACCCACTTGTCAGTTCCTGAAAATAACAGCTGGGACTGAAAAGGGTATTTGCAAGATGAACAGCAGGGAAGCAGA